CCACAGAAGGCCTCGCCAATTGTCGTAGTACCCGCCGTCTCGACAACTACATTCGCAAAGTCCTCTCTGAAGACATCCGATTACGAAATGACGAAGACGTCGCTCCTGAGGATCGAGAAAAGTGGAACCTCGACCGAGAACGGGATGTAGATGCTATCGAGGACTACAAGCAAGTTGAAAGAGTGATCGGTATGCGCGAGGGCGACGAGGGAACGGAGTACCTCGTGAAATGGAAACGCCTCTTCTACGACTCTTGTACATGGGAGGACGAAGACTTAGTCAGTAACATCGCGCAACGCGAGATAGACCGTTTCCTAGACCGTTCATCTCGCCCCCCGGTCTCTGACAAGTCGGAAACGAATCCAGCTACGCGGAAGCCATTCGAAACCATCAAAGGCACACCGTCCTTCCTGCAGAATGGACAGTTGAAGGAATTTCAGGTTAAGGGTGTCAACTTCATGGCCTTCAACTGGGTGAAGAATCGCAATGTTGTCCTTGCAGATGAGATGGGTCTGGGAAAAACTGTGCAGACAGTCTCTTTCATCAATTGGCTACGGCATATACGGCATCAACAGGGCCCTTTTGTTGTCGTTGTCCCCCTTTCCACCATGCCCTCATGGGCTGAGACCTTCGACAACTGGACACCCGATCTGAACTACGTTGTTTATAACGGCAACGAAGCTGCGCGCACAGTCTTGCGAGAACATGAGCTTATGGTTGATGGGAACCCCAAGCGACCGAAGTTCAACGTTCTGTTGACGACTTATGAATACGTTCTGTTAGACTCAGCCTTCCTGAGCCAGTTCAAATGGCAGTTCATGGCTATTGACGAGGCTCATCGGTTAAAAAACCGCGAGTCGCAGCTATATTTGAAGCTGCTGGAATTCAGATCTCCTGCCCGACTTCTGATTACCGGTACCCCGATTCAAAACAACCTGGCTGAGCTCTCTGCGCTCTTGGACTTTCTCAATCCAGGCTTGGTTGAAATCGATGCTGACATGGACCTGAACTGTGATGGTGCCTCACACAAGCTGGCAGAACTGACCAAGGCCATTCAGCCGTTCATGTTGCGTCGCACGAAGTCGAAGGTTGAGTCTGACCTTCCTCCCAAGACGGAGAAGATCATTCGGGTGGAGCTCTCGGATATCCAGCTGGAATACTACAAGAACATCCTAACCAAGAACTACGCTGCACTCAATGACGGCGCCCGTGGCCAGAAACAATCACTCCTTAACATCATGATGGAATTGAAGAAAGCGAGTAATCATCCTTTCATGTTTCCGAACGCGGAAGCTAGGCTTCTGGAAGGTAGTGCTCGTCGAGAGGACGTGCTGAGGGCCATGATTACCAGCAGTGGTAAAATGATGCTCTTGGATCAGCTTTTAGCCAAGCTCAAACGCGATGGTCACCGCGTACTGATTTTTAGTCAGATGGTCAAGATGCTGGACATCCTGGGTGACTACATGGAGTACCGTGGATATACATATCAACGTCTCGACGGAACTATTCCCGCTGCTGCGCGTCGTCTAGCCATTGAACATTACAACGCGCCTGGGAGCAACGATTTCGCTTTCATTCTCTCTACTCGAGCTGGTGGTCTCGGGATTAATTTGATGACTGCAGACACTGTTGTTCTTTTCGACTCTGACTGGAACCCTCAGGCCGATTTGCAGGCGATGGCACGAGCGCATCGTATCGGCCAGACGAGACCAGTGAGCGTGTATCGCCTGGTTTCAAAGGATACGGTGGAAGAAGAAGTCATTGAACGAGCAAGAAACAAGCTTCTCCTCGAGTTCATCACTATCCAGCGTGGTGTGACCGACAAGGAGGCCTCGGAGATTCAGAACAAGATGGCCCGGAGTGGAATCTCCATTGCCGAGCCTAACTCTACGGATGATATTTCACGCATTCTCAAGCGCCGTGGCCAGAAAATGTTTGAGCAGACCGGCAATCAAGCGAAACTTGAGCAATTGGATATTGACTCGGTTCTTGCCAATGCTGAACTGCATCAGACGGAACAAGCAGAGGGCATCCAAGCTGACGGTGGTGAAGAGTTCCTCAAAGCTTTTGATTACGTTGACATCAAGGTTGACGATCTTAGCTGGGACGATATCATACCGAAAGATCAACTTGAGGGGATCAAAGCAGAAGAAAAGAAGAAAGCGGATGAGCGTTATCTGGCTGAGGTCATTGAACAGAACCGGCCTCGCAAGCGCAACGTTCCCGGTGATCTCCGGGACTCACGCGAGGAGCGCAAAGCTAAGAGGCAAGCTCGAGCACAAGTCAGTATGGACAATGGCGATGACTCAGACTCAATGGCTCAATCAGACCCGAAGCGTCCTCTGGTAGAGAAAGAGTACCGTCATCTTCTTCGAGCGTTCCTCCGCTATGGTGATCTCGTTGATCGCGAAGAGGATATCATTCGCGAGGCCCGGCTGCTTGATCGTGACCGGGAAACAGTCAAGTCTGCTCTCCGTGAGATTACTGACAAAGCCGCTTCTTTGGTCAAGGAGGACATGGCAAAATTGGAGGCCCTTGAGAACTCTGGTAGGACTCCGACGAAGAAGGAAAAGAAGGCAGTGTTGTTCGACCTGCATGGAGTCAAGCGGCTCAACGCGTATACCATTGTCGAACGTCCGACCGAGATGCGTATTCTGAAAGAGGCAGTGGCTCAGGTAGCTGGCTTTAACAATTTCCGTGTTCCAGACGCTACCAAGGCCCCTGACTACACGTGCTCATGGGGCGCGCGGGAAGATGGCATGCTGTGTGTTGGTATCGCACGGCATGGCTATGGTGCTTGGTCTCAGATCAGGGATGACCCAGATCTTCAACTTGGAGATAAGTTCTTTCTCGAAGAGCACCGTGTCGAGCGCAAGAACGAGCGCTTGAATGCGGAGGATAAAACCACAAAGTCTCCGGGGGCAGTCCATCTTGTCCGACGCGCGGACTACCTGCTATCTCTCCTTAGAGACCGATCGACGAATGGCGCGAGCATGAGTGCAAGACGAGCCCTCGAGCCCCAAAGACCAGGGCGCAAAGGCTCACGTGCCCACGCCAGCAATAGTGTCTCGGCCTCTCCTGCACCATCGATTTCTCGCAAGGGGCATCGCGAGATGGACCGATCCAGACATCGTTCTAAAACCCACGCTAGAGACAGCATGGACAGGCACCATACTCCTAGCCATGATTCTCGTCAGCGGTCCGCTCATGACGGTGACCGAATTCGTCACCGGACGTCGGATGCATCCAGTGAGGATATTCGTCGCCGCAAACCCACCGAGAATGGTCACTCTGTAGGCAAGGAAGATATGGAATATAGGTTCTTCCGGCCGATTCGTGAGAATTTGAAAAAGGTGTCAGCAGTCACCAAGGAAAATTATCCGGACAAAGCAGAGCGCGCCCTCGAGCTCAGGCGCCTTCTGGATAAGATTGGCGAATTCATTAAGCAGAATCTACAAGGGGGTTTAATGGCTTCTCTGGAGACTCGCCTGTGGTAAGTCAGCAGCCGATCAACACTGTCGCCGCAGGACTAACTTATTTCTCTCAGGCAATTTGTCGCAGTTCACTACTGGCCGAACAAAGAGGCAGGAGGTGCCAAACTTCAACAGATGTATCAGAAGCTGAGCGCTGCCGGCAAGCCTGCGGCTCCTGCCCAGCCCAGCGCGCCGAATGGGGAGTCAAGTAGATCTTGATGTTTCATGTCGTCGAATGAGCTGTTGGGAGATAAAATGAGGGGATCATATAGCTGTGGAAGGAGTTTCTTTAAATTCTTTGTTGTCAATTGCAGGGTACATACATAAGCATTTATTTTTTTTGGGGAAAGCATGGCGACGGCGTCCGGCATGATCAATCTATGAAAGGGTGTTTGGTGTCGAATGCGACCATGAGAGAACCTTCTTACATTTTGATGTTTGCATGGCAATAATCTCCTTTTCTGTTCTCTTATATCTCTTGGTCTTGCTGTTGATGCACTATCTGTCTATCTATGTCTGTTTTTCGTTATTATCATACCATCATGCCGATTTTAGGAGCGACTGGACACAATTGTGTTTGAAGCCATGTGTTCAACAAATTATTTCCGCTTGTTCTATTTCTTTTTCTCTTTTTGCTTTGGTCGTCTCTGATACACATACCTGGCTACCTGGAGTGGAGGGAATGAAAGGGGTCTCAGACCATACAATACCACACGATTTCACTGTCCAGATTTTTCTTGTCTGGGAAGATGATACAATCTCAATAGGTACAGTACAATAAAGTTACTCATAAGTTACTTCGTAGCGCCCCTTGTAACGTCTGGCACAAAGCGGTCTGGCTTCCGACTGCCTTACCGACCGCCTGACTCGGCAGAAAGCTCGCGACCTCGCAACGAAAACAACGGATATAAGCGGATTTAAGCAGTAGTAGATAAGAAAAACTGCCTGACGAAAGTGTTCGAATTGGGTGGTGGCAGAAAAGGGCTGCGGGCTGCATACCTGCCTCTGGTCTAGGCGTGCACCTCCCTCTATCTCAGGACCCTTGATATCTTTACATACTGAGTTGCTATAATTTCCTGAGCCAGAACGTTAGTGGAGGTGGGGCCGATTCGGGAACAACAAGAATTGCGGGGAAATGAATCCCCTCAATTTCTCCTTCTCGTCTTTTCCCGTCACTCACCACCATCATTACCACTTCCTGCTTTCCAGGAACCAGTCCGTCCAATTGAACTCCTGCAAAGCATGCACAGCAAGCATAACCATATGGCTTTGAATTTACCCGAGCCTATCGCGACAGCACCCTGCAGGCATGAAACCCCTATAGCGTTGCCAGACATGACGTGGTTATTTCATGCTAGTTCTGGTTCCTAGAGGCAAGCAATAATGCTTCGCTCCTATAAATGCGGGGTTACATCCCCGCAAATATCAATAAACAACGCCCTCAATCCACATCCTGTTCTTTCCGCAAGGCCCATTTTCGATTGCAAGTCAAGCTATATTTGATGATTGCGGCTCTTCACCCTCGCCATGAAGCTCCTGACCTCCTGTGCAGTACTAGCCTCGGCACTCACTGCCTGCGCTGAATCAGAGCCCGGCTACTATGCAAACCTGACATGGGAGCAGCCTCGGACTCTATCGAACTGGAGCAATCTTACCGTTGAGACTCAAACAGGGACATTCATCGGCATGCTGAACGATACCTATCCTGATGTTCGCCAGTTTTCGCTCGTCCCTTATGCTCAGGTATGAGAATTTTCTCACTATGACTGAGATTGAGCTGACCGTGTTCAATTTAGCCACCAGTAGGAGATCTTCGCTGGCTACCTCCTCAGAAGTTGAAGAAGACAAATCGGAAGTTTGACTCGACGAGATATGGCCCAGCGTGTCCGCAGTATGTCTCTACCTATGATAGCATCTGGACCGAGTACTCGCCAACCGCATTACTCTACAACCTCGGTGAGACGCGCACTCAGGGCTCCACGGCCTGGTCGACAGCAGAAGATTGCCTGTCCCTGGCGATTTGGACTCCAGCGTCAGCAACTCACCGTTCCAATCTCCCTGTGGCACTTTTTGTGACCGGTGGCGGCGGGGTTACCGGTGGCATTGCCATCCCATCCCAACTGCCACCCCACTGGGTCTCGCGCTCCCAGGAGCATATTGTAGTCACGATGAACTACAGAGTCAACATATTCGGGAGTCGGTCACCCCAAATACCTAGCTCACACCAACCTGCTAACAGCAGTTAGATCCCAAATCCAGAGCTTTGGATGAGACATCACTCACTCTACTCGACGTGCGAGCCGCGGTTGAATGGGTATATGAGAACATTGAATCTTTCGGTGGGAACAAGGACAACATTATGGTCAGCTATCTTCCACCCCTTGCCGTACGTCAACTTTCCACAGTCAAGCTAATACTACACCCGCGGTAGTTATGGGGCCAATCTCAAGGTGCCGCTCTCACTCATCTCTACACCCTCGCCTTTCCCGACAACCCCTTAGCCGCCAAATTCGGCATCCTCTCCCAACCTCCCTCTGTGACCATTGACCTCAGCACCACCGATGATGTCTACCAAGATTTCGATATCGTGGCCCAAGCTCTGGGCTGCAACTACGGCAGCGACGCTACCGCCGCATTAGAGTGCATGCGTAAAGTCTCCTGGGTGCAGATCTCGGAATTTATCAACCGCTACAGCGGCTCTCCGTCGATCTCATTCAGCAGCTACATCCGTTAGTTCTCCTGTCTATTACCTTGTACATCTCCCGTTTCTCTTCCTACTTGCTAATGAGACGACTTACTAGCGGACGAGAAATACATCTTCGCAAACGAGACCCAGCGCTACCACTCGGGCAAAGTCGCCCGAGGGCCGGCCATCCGCTCCAACGTGGATCGTGAATCAGCCAGCACGAACCTGACAGCCTCCGCGATCACCGAGATGGAATGGAGCTGCGCCACTGCGTCGGATGCGGCGCTGCGAAAGGCCGTTGGGTTAGACACTTATCGATATTTCTGGGCGGGTATGTATATCATCTGCACTTGCTTCCTCCATCTCCAACACCAGAGCTCCAACCTCCTTCCACTGGACATGTCTCTATGACAGCCACTGACAAGAATGATCCGAACCAGGAAACTTCACCAATATCTCCCCAACCCCTTGGCTCGGCGCCTACCACTCCTCCGACCTTCTGATGGTCTTCGGGACATATATGAAGCAGATTGGGGACGTCCCCGATCTAGAGGTGCTCACGTCGGAAAAGATACAGGATTACTTCCTGGCATTTTTGAAAGATGCCACCTCCGTGGCTGAGACGGTGGGGTGGGCGCCGTTCGATCGCGAGGGAGCGAATGGAGGCACGATTGTCGAATTTGGCAAGGGTACCGCAGCACGAAACGTGACGGGGGACTGGTTGGATAAGGCGTGCAAGAGTGGTGCTTTGGAGGATGTGAGGATTTGGGGGTAGATTGGTTGGTTCTGTGGTAACCTTCTCGCTGGTGTGATGGTGGTTGTTTATAGTTGTATCTGCATAAGCCCACAGATGACGCTGAGTCACCAATGTACACATAACTACTGCTCGCATGCACCCAATTCTTCTGCTTAACCGGCCATGGGCAGGCAGACGGGTGACTTAAATCCACGAGGGATTCCATCCTCTTCTATCACAGCAGAAAGAGGTCTTCAATACTATATATAAAGAGTATTTATGTATGTGTTGTTGCGAAGCACCAGGAACTGGTCTAGTCGTTCTCACACGAGTCAGCTGTGCAGGGAGCACTGAGGCAAACATCCACTGTGGAATGAGTCGGTGAGTTTATAGGCTACAGCTCACGCACCACACTCATAGTAACATGTGATTTTCCCCCTCTCGGAAAAACTCCCAGTCTCGTTGGTGAATTACGTCAGGTGAAAGGGGGGGGTGGGTTTGGTTTGGGGGAATTGGAGCACGAGACTGGAGACTGGAGACTGGAGACTGGAGACTGGAGAAGGGGGAAGGAGAGAAGGAAAAAAAAAAAAAAAAAACGAGCACCCTGCGGGCAGTGAGTGGGTCAGTCTGGCTGAAACGGTCGGGAGACCGAGTCTTTGCAGTGGATTCGGTTGGTGGGATGTTGCTGCTGCTGCTCCTGCTGCTGCTGCTGCTGTTCGAGAGTAGTCTATTAATAGATCGAGAAGCCGAGGCGCTGGCCAGACTCGAAGAAATGGATTTTTGCGATCGAGTTGTATAGGTATGTTGGTGTAGTTGGTGGCTGATTATCTTCGGATGAGAAGGCTGAGAAGGAAGAGAGAAAGAGTGAGAGAGGGCGAGCGACAGAAAGAGAGGCTGTGGGCGTGGGATAGAATAGAATAGTCAGAGACAATCAATAAGAAAGTAATCAATAGGGATGGAGATTAATCTGCGTCATCCCTGTTCGTGCAGCACCGGTTCCTGACTAGCGCGGCTTGCCCCACGGCTTCCTTCCTAAAAGAAAAGAAAAGAAAGAAGAAAAGAAAAAAACATCACCTGATTATACGGACACGGATCGATCTGTCTGACTCAAGACTCCAACTTAGACACACCTACTTCTGTTCATCTATCTTCCGCCCTTGGGTTGATCCATTGCGATTGATTCAGTCTTGTAGCTATGCTCTGGTGCCATGGAACTTGGAACACCCTCAATACTTCCATCTTTGGGGCCAATGCGATGGTCCGGCTCACCCACCCCTTGGCGAAACACCATCCAACTCGCATGGTTGGTACCCTGTCCCCTGAATACTACAGTGTAGCACTCTATCTTGGGGGGCCATCCACCCTGTAACACCGTCTGTAATGTTCCTGTAGTTCCTGTAGCAATTGTTAACAAGGTCAGTGTCCTTGCAGCAATTCTTATGCAGGAACCAAAGGAGAGGCAAAGAGAGGAAGAGCAGGAAAGGGAAGGAAGGGTCTTTCCCCTTCCTTTTATCCCAACCTCCTCCATCACACTCCATCCACCCATTCCTCAGTCAATTAATCAATCAATCAATCAACAACAACAACAAACAATTCTTCATCTCGTCGGGCAGACACTCCAGGACATTGATTATGGGTTAGCATTTCTGCGTCCTCCTTCCTTTTGGCCCTCCTTTTCCTCGTGTTCTACTCTCCTTCTCTCCTTTCCTCCTTGGGCTACTCACTCTCTCCGCCCTGACAGGGAACTGTTTACTCCTCGTTCGCATCACTCCGTCCTACACGCGGATCACCCCGACCACAACGTGCTGGGCACTCGTGCTAGTCACTCTGTGTTCTAATCTGATCTATCGATATCACAATCGTTGTATTCTCCGACCGGGACCTCGAAGTCCAAAGTCTGAATGCTCCAGCTCCACTGTGAGTTGCTCTACAGGCGGGCTAGTATTGGTCTAAGCTTGCCCGCCGGCGTTTCATCCTCCACTGTTCGCCCAGACACTACACACACTCTCTCTCACACACTCTCTCTCGCTCGCTCGCTCGTCCTTCCTCTCCCCTTCCCTCCCTCTCCTGATCTTGGCTGTTCCTTTCCCTCCCCTCCGTCCTTTGCTGCTCCTCTTTCTGGCTTCCTGACCTTTTCCCTCTCGTTCTTTCCTCGTTGTGTCGCATTCTCCCCTCGACCCCTCGTCGCTTTCGTTCCTTCACCTTCACCGTCTACCGCCGATTTGATATCGTGCACCACGGCTATCCTTTTCGCCCCTGAAAATTGATCTCGCCCCTCGCTCAATTAGCACTCGCGCAACTAGGTCGCCATTCGTTTGTGCCTTCCGCCTCCTCGCCATACCCTCAATTTCCCCAGTCCCGTGTGCGCGCCTATCCTTCGCCCGACAAACGTCACTCACCCACCTTCCACGCAACATAGCTGTCGCTACCGTTTGCGCCTGGGTCCCCTGTTCACTTCGTCCGAGACGATCATCCGCGATTTCCTCGACCATGCGATAGTGCTCCGGCAGTCATTTCCTCCCCCAAGATCATTCTCCGTCCTCGTCCCTACGCCTGCGTGCTGACCTAGGACGGCTGGACATTCCCTTAGCTTCTTCGGCTGGTATATTCGAAGAACACTCCTTCTCTTCTTGCCTGTCGCTCGTTTGCACGCTATGCTGGCTCCGAAGCCCCCTGTGGACTTGGAGGGCCATTGCTCCGTCATCTATGATAACACTCTTTACGCTTACTCCGCCAATGGCTTTGTCTCGATTCCTCTCGAACTCAATGCGACATGGACCAACCTGACCATGGGAGAGCCGGTCTCCAATGCGGCATGTGTGACGGGTGGTATTGATGGAGATGAAGACCAGCACGCGCTCTACGTGGTCGGCGGTTCCGGTTCTCAGTCCGACCTATCAGGCCTACAGCGGTACTCCTTCCAAGACAAGAATTGGACTGCCATCCCCCAAGAGAACCTGGCCAATCGGACTCGACACCAGGCAGTCTACCTTTCTAATTCTTCCAGCATTCTGGTCTACGGCGGCCACACCTCGGACCAATCTGTCGCCTCATCAGATACTTTTGTCGCCTACACTATGTCCCCGTATGTATTAGACGCCTTCTCGGCCTCGAATGCCTCTCCGGCCTACCTTCCTGTATTGGTGCCCTGGAGCGATAGTGAAGCGGCCCTAGTAGGCGGCACGACAACCCCGAAGGCAGTCCACCTATTCAACCCGACCCGTGGCTGGTTTGACTCCAATATCACCCTGGCCGATTCACTCTCCAGCGATGTCCGAGCTGCACTATTCGAAGGAACAAATGGTACCAAGATTCTCGAGGCTTTCGACATGAGTGTATCGCCCAACACAGTTTCTAGCGTAGAGCTAGTCAAGCCAGGCGGTACGCCTGCCAACCCCGCAACCGCCGTGACGACCAGTTCTTCGTCCAGTAAACAGAAGAGAGAGGATTCCTCGAGCGATTACCCAACTTATTCCAGCACACTGGCCTCCTCCACTACAAGACAAAACTATTCGCTAGCACAGGGTGAAGATGGACTAGTTGTCATTTCCAGCGGAAGCGGTACAGAATCGCTCGCCATCTTCAACCAGACCGCCAACAGCTGGGTGAATACTACACATCTGTTCTATGGGAATGAGTCGGAGCAGCAAATCCTCGGATCGATGACGCACACGACATCCACCACTGCATCGACTAGTAGCTCCTCAGCTAGCTCCTCCGCGAGCACGTCCTCTGGCGCTGCTGCCGGCGGAGGCTCATCCAGCAGCGACATTGGAACCATTGTGGGTGCTACACTCGGTGCGATTGTGGGTGTAGGAGTTATCCTGATCCTCATCCTTCTCTGGATCAAACGCAAGAAACAAAGCATCAAACTAGCCCAGGGCGGCGACAAAGATCGGCTGAGCTTCCAAGATCGGGGGGTGGAACCCCTAGCGCAATCAGCGTACCCCATGGCAAAAAGCCCTGCCCCCTTGGCTGCCGCCTCCGTGGACTCCCTGGCAATTTTTTCGGGATCAATGAGCGATGAGAAGACACCCCGATCCGCTGGAGCGCGCCCCCCCTACGCGCAAAACACAAGTCCGTTGAAACCGAGCCCGCTGGTGACTGTGCAGTCTCCCGACGCCTCCCCTAGTACATACTCGCCGAGTGCGTACTCTAGCGCTGCCCTCGATAAAGAGCTGTCCGTCAAAGAACTACACCCCGGGGGCAACCCCGGCGATCGTTTAACTAATGAAGGGTGGAGTCGGTACTTTCAAGATAACAGTGCGACTGACCTGGTCGGAATGCAGCCACCAACTCTTCAGCCCCCTGCTCCGGGGCTGAGGAGCAATCGGACGGACTCCAGCAGCACCGCATGGCCGATCAAGCTGACGCCCCTCAACTTCGGGTTCTTGGATGAACCCAAACCCCTCGGAGGTCAGGTGATCAGCGGCAGTCCCACCACCGAACATGCATCGTCGATCATCTCCTCCGAGGGTCGACAGATGATCATCCCCGAGAGTCAGTCCGCCCGCATCTCGACTGCTTCCTCCATCGGCGACGACTTGGAGAACGATCCGCACTGGCAAACACGCAGTTGGATGGGCCGCCCGCCCAGCAGTACCTACAGTCGCAGCTACTACAATCCCAGCACTCGTGCGCCTTCCATGGCACCCTCCATGGCCATGCCCTCTGACGGTGATTCCCGTCTCGACCCATCCAGCGCTTACAACCACCGTGGATCCAGCATCCTCATTCCCGATAGCCTGGAGCCGATGCCGGAACACGAGGAGCCCGGGCACAGCAGCGGTGGCCAGAAAGCCAATGTCAATGCAGATATGAGCTGGTTGAATCTTCACGGCGACAAATGAGAATGCCTTGACACATCCTCTATACTGTGGTTTTCTCCGTCGCCTTCACATCCCCCTGCCCATCAACCCACCTTCGCCTCGCCGGCTCCAGTGCTCTCTCTTCCGCCCTCACCATCCACCACCCACTTTACATCACCGGTCCCTTTCGGAACCTTCCGTGTAAAAAAGTTCCCTTCCCATGACCGCACCCATCTATCCGCTAAAGATGGTCTGTACAGCTAGCTGCGCTCGTCTTCCTATCTCTTTTTCACATCTACTCTTTTCCACTCTCATTCCGCGCCTGTTGTTCCCATCTCTCTATATTATGTCTAATAACTAGACCCATCCATCTAGCGCCAATCATTGATCGGACCTCGTTGATTCTACGATACCTCTCTCTTTCTCTCTATCTCTGTCGCTAGCTCCGTCCTACCACCATATTTACCGTTCATGCGCCGATCAGCATTGCCTCTGATTCCCAGTTCTGTTCTGTCTTCCTATATCTCTATCTATCCCTCTCTCTCTCTCTCTCTCTGTGTGTGTGTGTGTATGTATATGTCTTCTACTCCATATGTGCCACATATCTTGTCTGAGTCGCTCTGATGTGGACGAGTTGTTTTGCTCTCTGGTTTGTTTTGGATAGAAGCATGTTTCTTGGGTACGTGCCGGGAATGGAATAATGCCCCTTTAATACCTCAACACTGTCTACACCAGAACGTATGTGCCTACTGTAGATCGGCCAGTCGAGAAGTACCGAGCCAATTCCGGTAATGTTATGAATATCCCGAGTATAAAACAATCATCAATAACAGAGCAGATTGCCCCGGCGTTCCATCATCAGTCCATCATCAGTCCATCATCAGTAGAGCCGCACGCAACACAAACCAAAGCCACGAAACCAAAGCACCCGGAAGACAAGTAAAATACATCAAATCAAGACAGACACGTCTCGAAAATATCATCAAGTCATAAGATCATCATCATATCATCGCACCCCACACATCCTACACACTCCAGCCACCCAACAGGGACATTTGACCGACCTGGATTGCCTCAAGTCTCCCTCCCATCCCAAACAGGAGCAATCAATCAAGCATACTGCGCCATGGGCACTCGGCCCGACCGTCCGGCCGACCGGGACCGAAGGCTCGGGGTGGACCCATACTCGGACGGGTGGTGCTCCTCGATCTCATCGGGGTAGACGGTCCGCGGTTGGCGGTGATGGTCATAGCCCGCGTGGCTCTGCGCGCGCTGGTGGCGGCGTTCGCGCTTCTGGTCGCACTCCTCCCGCAACTTGTGGCGCTCCTTGCGGAGCTCGGCCGCGTGTTTCCATTCTTCGGCGGCGCCTTTGATGCCCCAGGCGGCGATGCCCACGCTGGCGACATCGCCGAGGTTGGCCTTCAGGCGGCGGCGGCGGGCCTCCTCCGGGGTGATCTCGCCCTCGCGGAGCTGCTCGGCTCGTTTCTTGTGTTTTTCCATGTTTTCGTAGAGCTCATGGGCGGCGTGGATGGTGGCCACGGTCGCCAGGCCGGTCTTGACCAGCGTCTTGCGCGTTAGTTTCTTCTGGCGCTTCTCCTCATCGGTACTGCTGCCTAAGTCAGAGTCACAATCCTCGGTGCTGTTGGAGCGGGGCTCGTCCGGGGCACGGGTACGGCTATAGCCAGCTTCGTCGGCGTGAACAATTGGTCGACTCACATCTCTAGAATGCCGGGCGCGCCGTGGGCTTCGGTGACGGCGATACTCATAGTCGCTATAGTCGTCGGGGTAATCATCGCGGCGGGACGAGTGGCGGCCGTCTCGGTCCCGGCTGTCCCGGCGGTGGTCCTTCTCGCTCAGGCCCAGCGCCTCCATCCCCTTGTGGATGTAGTCCGAAACGCTCTTGCTCCGCGGCCTCGGGCGACGGTCATCGTAGCTGTCCTGCGAGAGAGACCGGCCCCGACTCCGGTCCCGGGGACGGGACCTGGAGCGGAACCGATCGTATGCTTCCTTGCCGATCGCAGCCAAGGCGCCTGTGGCCGCAAGATTCTTCACGCCACCGTTGCTCTGGGAACGGCCATGGTGCCGGCCGCGGGATCGGGAGCGGGATCGCGGCCCGTTCAGAAAATGGTTCGCGGCGAGTCCGGCCAGGGTCGATTCAACGACATGACGCTTCGAGTGCTTCTTGGGATCGCGGTCCACCAGTCCATCCGTGCCCCCGGCCGCGATGGCAGCGGTCAAGATCCGCTTCCCCTTGGCACCGGTCCACTCCCCAGGGTCCTTGCGGACGCGGAATGCCTCGATGGCTCCGGCGGTCAGAGCGGCCCGCATCGCCTGTGCGATACGTTGCTCGCTCTTCTCGCGCCGATGGCGACTCCGCGAGCGAGTCGGAGACGGCGAATAGGAGTAGGATTTGCGATCGCGGGCCTGCGAGCGGCCGCGCTCCCGATGTCTCGAGCCCGACGAAGCAAGGGATCCTAACCCGAGCGCTCCCAGGGCTTGCTCGGAGATGGACTTTCGTCGGCGCGGTGGGGGAGAACGACTGTCGGAGGGGGATCGGGAGTATCTTCCCCGGTCATCTAGGTAAGGTCAGCACGCTTGTTGACTGGGTCTTCATTTCTATCGGCCGAGATGACTGGGATGAAAGAAAGATTGGCGGATATGTACGTACGTCGGTCGTCATGGCGTCTAGAGCGGCGATGTGAGGGCCGATAGTAGTCCGAGCCGTCGTCGTAATAAGGGTCGCGGGGATTCACAGAGTGGGAGCGTCGCACACTTTCGTGGACGGTGGACGCGCGGGTGGGTTTTCCTTGCGGGGGAATCCCGTAGCCGTACTCGTAGCCATAATCGGCGGGGGGATAGTCGCGATGAACAGCCTCGAAGGACTCGACACTGCCATCTCGATGATGACGCACGACGTCGGTTTGATGGCGAGATGGGGGGGGATAGTAGTCGGGGTTATAGCCAGCAGGAGGGCGGGAAGAATACTGGCGCCCGTCGTAGTAGGCCATGGTCACAGAGTCGCAGAGACTGGCGAAGCGGGGTTGGTTGGGGAGGTTCAGATGGGTGGAGGGGTTCCAAAGATGAGCGATGGTTGGTTAGCCTAAGCCATGCAGACAAGAGTGAGTTGATGGCTGAAGAATGGATGGGACGATAGTGATGGACTGAGAGACGTGGAAGGGAGAGAAGGTGATCAAAGAGAGGAATGAGAGAGAGGATGGAAGAAAGAAAAGAGATGATGATGGGTGGTCGTAGTCGAGTTTCAGGCCAGTTCAGGCACGGACAGGCATTCAATCTGGCAGTGGCGACCGGCACGGCTCAGCGCTGGCTTGCATTTCACCAAAACGAAACCAATCCCCCCAGTGACGTCGTCGTCCAGTCTACCCCTCCGTGACTTGTGAAAAGGCTAGAACATCCACCTCTCACTCAGGTACCATCCAGGTACCTGTTGTTGTTTTCTGCCTCCTCCCGCTCATTGAGGATTGTTGTTATTGTCAACGACTCTCCCATTGTTTGTTTCTGCCCATCTCGGCCGGAGGAGGGTCTTTCAGTCGGGCAGCCCTTCCTCCACTCCAGGCTATTATTGTGAAACAAAGCCCCTCGGTGGGGGATGGGGCTCGGCTATTGGTGAGGCGAGAGCATTCCATGATAAAAGGCGTGTCACCATCCATCCAGCCGAGCCTTCTTGTCCTTCGGCTCATACGCTCTCAGCTCAGTGCGCATCCCAGCTGAACTGACATCATCGTCGGCACGAGTCACGAGTCAGTCAAAAAGTCTACCCAAACTACCCGCCATCATCCCCTGCCAGGTGGTCAAGAAGGAGGGAGATGGAAGCAGCATCCACGAAGAACCAACAACCTATGGCCGTCGACAAGGATAGAAGTAGACAAATCCTCGCTTATAGATAGAAGTGGTCCCTTCCCGGTGGCTGTTCCAGACTTGCATGCCTTGTGTTTTGCTCCCCGGCTTTTCCGTCCCCGCCCGTTCCGTGGTTCGAATCCCTTACTGCAGACACCAATCCATCCTACGTACATACTTCACATTACGTGATTTCGATATGCTATGCGGACACTAGAAGAGAACATTTACTTTGAAGTATATAAGCAAAACACACTGATCATATCATTGTAGATCTTCAAATGGATATCATCGCATCGCATTCAGAACCTCCATCTTGACATGCGGTCATGCAGTAGTGACCCGTCAATTCCTCGTAGCTCTCCCACATACATAATCAATGAAAACACTTATTGTACAGTACAAAACACATCCTGCCCTTTTTCTTTTGGTGAGCCCTTTCCCCGGGCAGAAACTCCAGATAAACAACAGGAAAAGAAAAAAGCTGATGAGGTATTCATGGCAGACAGGAGAAACATAATCAAACACGCTTGAGAACGCCATGCGAACCAACAACAGAATCGGTCGCATATGCAAGTGAGTAATCACAGATGAAACATCAACATGAACAAGAAGACAGTTGAAGAAAGGACGTCAAGGCAAGAGATGCATGGGGAGAAAATGAAAAGAAGAAAATGCAGGCGGCTCTCCGTAGCGTCTATCCACAACAGAACAGAGGAACACAAAAACGGGTGGATCGAGATTAAATCGTCCACAGAAAAGAATGCAACAAAGTCTATCTCGCAAGCGCAATTCGTCCAGCTCAAACGATGCGCAAATGGGGAAACTCCCATGTCGAAGGGGTATGCTGCAGGGAACCGCACAGCGGTCACCCTCAGGGCCGGTTATGCCCGCACACCAAGGTCGATTGGCCATGGATACGGGTCATGGTTGGAAAGAAGGAGAAGGAAAACGAGAAGGTGAAGAACAAGAAAGACGTCTCAGTTCTCTCATCAGACTCGTGGTGGCATGGCATCGTAAGAGGATTTCTCCCGCTGGGCCTGGCTGGTCGACCGCTGGTGGGCGTAAGTGGACGAAGCGGTGTTTCTCCGAGTCGACCAGCTGCTGCTCCCATCACTGTCCCGGTCGGCGGCCATCCCCGTGGGCATCTCCTCGGAGTGGGTGCGGTGCGTCCGGATATGCTGCTTCATGTTGTCCTTGCGGGTGAACGCCTTGTTGCAGATCGGGCAATGGACGCTCTTCTCCCCGGTGTGCTTCTTGCCGTGGCGGGCGGCATGGCCCGAGGTGGTGAAGGTTGCGGTGCAGCCATGGCTGGCAGCAAAAGGGCAAGGGTACTTGTTCTTCCGCACGCCCGATTTCGCAGCCATGCTTTCCTTGGTCGTGCTTCCGATCGACGGCTGCGGGGACGGAGGCTCGACCACCGAGCTCCCACTAACCCGCTTCTCTGCCATGGGCCGGTAGCCATGAGGTTCTTGCCGACTAAGGTGATAATGCGATCGAACGCTGGCGCCGCTGCTCATATAGTCGTAGGAACAGTCGGAAGAACCGGGAGACGTGGGCTGCGGGGGTTCAGACACGGGTTCGTAAGGATGGCGTGCCAAAGCGGGGGATACCGATGGGGAGTTCGTATAGGCATGGTGGTGATGGGCGTGATAGCGGAAATCAGGGGTTAACGTCCTTGTCGTCGTTGGTTGCGGCTCATAGTGGTAAGAGGAATATGAAGAGGTGGAGTTTTGTCGAGAGATTCCCGGCGCAGACCGCACAGTAAAGGCCGGGTTGTCGTCGTTGTTCAGGATCGACACAAAGCTTGCTTGACAACTAGCCATCTTGTCCACAATATGCAAGCGATCTGTTCGAGTCATGATTAGTTCTGAGTTCAGCCCCTCTGTCATCAATCGCGTTGTCGTTCTTATCTAAGCTATCTATCTGTGCTTCGGAGGTCCGGCTCCCGTCGACCATGTATCTCCGCGACTCGTCCAGCAGACCAACAACCCTCGGTTAAGAGAGCCAACCCCCAAGGAATGGAGACCATATGAAGAAAGCAAGTTCGGGGAGGTGAGAGATTGAAAGTACGTACCGAGTTAGTAAGGAGAATGTTGCCTTGTCGGAATCAGTTCGTGTAACGAGGACCCCCTCGATCTGTTGAAAAGACCCCTGGAGAGCGCTAGGATGGAAGATGCAATACACCCAGTTAGCTCGTTGCTGGGTTGCCCGTCTCTTGTCGGATAGGAGAAATTCAGCTGTTCCCCACGGATGTGACTGAGACAACGAGACAATCACCCGATGTCGATCACTTCGAGGGCTGTCGATGCGCGGGGTCCACCGGCTGCTGGAGTAGGGCAAATAAAACAGTAATTGCAATTCAGCCCGGTCGGTTTGGCAGGGCTCGGAGATAATCCCAACAGGCGCGGATAATGACGATTTGACCCTTGAGACACACCCACCAAAACAATTTGCCTTGCGAAACGGTGGTTGATGTTCGGTCTGTGGTCTCAACGTGGTTGGATGTAGATACAGGAGGGCGATAAGAGCGGATAGAGGAGGATCGGCCGAAAGTGGGAAGGTTGCAGAGCAATGAAGGATAGACAAGGCCTGAAATGTCGCAGGACGAGAGGGAGAGGAGTAGGATGCGGAAGGAAGGTAGTATGGGAGTATGGGAGTTGAGGTTTAGTGTGAGTCGCTGATATCAAATTTGGAAATTAGGGAAAGGAGGTCGAATGAGACGGGCAGACCAGGAATATTAAAAGGCGAGAGAGCGAGAAGGGGTGGGAGGAGAAGTGGAGGGTGGGCACAAGAGGTGACGAACGGTCGAACCAGCGACTTTCGTCTTTTCGTCGCAGTAAAAGAAGCATCTTGAAACCCGTCCAGGGTCTCTCCAGAAGCTCTGGCCATGTCCAGAGTCCGTCAGTTGAGTTAACTCACTAGTGGACTAGCTCATAGTGGGTGGGAAATGGAATAATGGATAATGGATTCATGGATAATGTCCACGACGCTAGTTCGTCGGGGTGGAGTACAAAATAGGCATCATCATTTATGGTAACTGTTATGGGATAAAAAAAATAAAAAAAAATAATACATTAAAAGCCAAGAATTACAAAAAAGAAGGCAGAAAAAAAAAAGACGGAAAGGAAAAGGGAACAAAAAGAATTCTCGGTTTGGTTCGTTGGGTGAGCCAGAGAGCCAGAGAGCCAGAGAAGAGAAACGGACTCTTGGGAAGACCCTAACTGGAGAACAGCCACAGGGTCTATGCCAATAGAGTCCTCCCGCTTCTTGAGCCGACCAGATTAGATGGGGTTTAATTTCCCATTTGTCTCTCCTTGTTCTTTGCTTTCTTCTTGTCTTTCTATGCTGCCTCCATGGTCCGTACTCAGTACGAGCACAAGAGAAAAATCAGGTCTCAGTCCGGATATGCAAGTTCCCATTCGTTCATGATTTCTTTCGTTTCCTTTCCTTTTCCTTTCCTCATTGCCCCTCCGATAAAGCCGAAGTGCATAGTCATTTCGGCACTAGTTCTACCCGCTGTCCGCACAACCCCCTTAGTCAGTCAGTCAGTCATCCAACCCCAGCCCCAACCCCAAGAAAAAGGTTTCGTTCTTCTCAACAGCCACGCGGATGGAACCAGTCGAAGTGGGTGTAGTGTGGTGGTGGTGTGGTGTGGCTCGGCTCCTGTCATCGTAATGATACTGGTAATAATAGTAAGAGGTAAAACATTAGGAACGGGGCTTGTTTTCCCATTGCTGCATTGGGATCTTGTAACGACTAAAGGACGACTACTCAAGCTTAGCTCCGAGGTGACCTCGTCATCCAGAGGGGGCAGGCCGTCAGCTAAAAAAGGGCCGATGGCCCCCTTTCAGGGCCCAATAGCCCCTCTTCTTCCCACCGAGGCTTGGATCTAAACTACCTAGATCCCTGGCTGGTACGTGTCCCTGTCGTCAGCTAAACGGGCGGAGGAGAGAGAGCAGTGGTAACTTGTAAGCGCATTGCTCCTGCACTGTGTCAGCCATCGTGTCAATCGGCTGTGGTTCACAATCATATCGAGTACACAAGTAGTGAAGAATGCCAAAGATGAAGACGGCTGAATGTCTACCGACATTATTTGAGAGTGTGTGGAACTCAATTGCTAAGCAAAACACGACAATCAGACGCAAGAATAATGAATGGATGTCTCGGCCGCTGTTGTCAGTTCTGGCTATCGGCACTAAGACCAGCCAGATGCAAACATAAACTTTCGAGGGTTCCCGAGTAATGCATGGTATTGATTGGTATTTGGGTATCGATCGTCTTCCGAGTGGCAACCAAACCACAACCTGCTTGTCAAGATCAATCCCGATGATTAAGCAGCCAGCCGGTGGTCAACCCGTTGCCTTGTTGCCCCTGTTGCCCTAGCCCGTCACCCTCGACGAGCACTTTCTCTCCGAGAATGAGGTACGGGGTGTATAGGTTAAGAGTAAACGTGTATACACAACTATCAAAATCCGCTCAAATAGCCACACGGTGCCCTGCTCAGGTTTCCGACTGGAAGCAAATGCCGTAGATCGTTGCCTGCCGTGGCCAAATATCAATCGCTCCGTCCTCCGTCCTTCTCCTGCTCCTCCTCACCCCCTGGTCGCCATCCCCAGAAGGAGGCTTACGGACAAGCTTTTAGCCACGCTGTACTGGAATCTGATGGGACGAAATGGGTGGGTTTGGACTGGGTATCTGACGCTAGTCACGGCACTAGTATCACGTCCAGTGCCTTGATTGGTGACAATGGGGCAGATCAATCTGGATCAAACCCTCAAACTGTTCTTTCCCCCTCGAGTACTCCGGACAGAGGGAGAGAGAAAAAAAAATTAAACAAGCGCTTACGACACATCCTGATACTTTTTTTTTCTCCGAGAGCACACGGTGTCAGAGTTCCAAAGATCTGAGCTGATTTTCTTCACCTCCGGGATCGTCTCAAATCTCCCTTTGTGGTACTCTTCTCCGACCCCGATCGGAGGTCGGAGGTTAAACCTTGAGATGAAACTCTCGGACGATTGAACTCTATGGGAAAGTGTTTGAAACTCGGTAAATTGTCCGCATGGTGTGGACAGAGAGATAGAGGCGGAGACTGAGAACTGAGAAAGAGAAGAGAGGTTCAATCTGTGTGGTTCTCTGGTTCTCAGAAGAACGGATTTAGTAAGTACGCGTATCAATAGATAGCCCATTCATTTTAAATTTTCCCTTCCCTTTCGCTTTCCCATCTTTCCCAAGCTCCAAAGAAATTATACCGACGTTCTGGAAAAGCGCCCCACCCAGAACCGAAAATAGCTTCGATTTCAATAGTAGCGGCGGCGAGGCACACACAGTTTCTGTCGGGCTTTTTTGTCTACCAATAATAGCGCCAGAGGACAAGTCGTCGCTTACTGTGAGCTTCTGTAGTCATCCCACACGCCAACTTAATGGTTTCTTGACCCCTCCTCGGCTTGCTGACTCCTGCTAGTGAGCAGATGACAGCGTTCAACGGCTGTAAACCATGCATATTTCCTCTCATATCATCTGACTATTGTGTCTCAATCAACATACCTATAATGCATTCACTATGGAAATATGACTTCATCATGACAAGTAATGTCCTTCCATCTCGGGTGCCGGATTGCCTGATCGCCCCTGTCAGTCAAGTCAAGAAGGAAATCATGTACCACCCACGAACAATCCAGGGCCCCTCTGCCCCCCTTCCTCTTTCAAATCTCCCTCACAAAATGAATCTCCCTCGCAGTTCCATAACGCTAAAAATGCTAAACCGAGCTTGGCTTCCTGGCTAAACACGAACTTTGGTCAATCATGGTTAATCCATGCATACGTGTACTCTGGCTAACCGTCGCCGGAGCCCCATCCTGCCGGGGCTCCGACGCGCCATGCGCTGGTTCCCCCTTCCCCAATCACAGCCGGCTGCTGCATCACTTTGAGAGCGCTACTGTCCTATTTCCCTGCTGTTTGTTGTGCCTGCAAGGCATTCGATGGAGATAATGTCTCGGGGGAGTGCTGACTAGTGTAGCCGGAAACCTACCTCCCAATAGCCCATCATGTTATATACCCTACACACTACTCGGGCAGATTCCATGCCTCCAGACATGCTTGGCCCCCTTGGACCCTGAATCAACCAGCACTGATAGTGGTGGTGGTGGTGGTGGTGGTTGATCGTCTCAGCCCTCACTTGCGTTCCTCCATCTATACGATCTACGTACTACGTAGTTCATCCCGAGGCAAAGACTAAGGAACTGTGGAAACCCCCCTCGGTTCTTGATCCATCAGACGCGTCAGAGGATCGGATATAACGTCAAGAAATAGTAGTCCGCCCCTCTCTCTTGCCCTTCGCTAACTCCCCCCGGGCCCGCAACTAATCTCCTCGCCAGGGCCCTGGGGGATCATCATTGGCCAGACCCCAAGGGGAATCAGAAATGTTGATGCCTAGGGACTCGATTGATGACAATGAGAATTTGTGCTGTGCGATCGCGGGGACAGGTGACGCAAAACGGCCACCCTCATGGTTTAATGTACTTCCGCTGTGGGTAGAGTGAATATACGGTGCCTGTATGTACTCAGTACAGCCCGAGGGCAAACTCCGACAATCTGTCTTCCGAAATAAAGCCTTTCCCATCTTTATCCGGGGCGAACTTCGGAGGAAGTCAATGTGTGGTACTGTGCCCAGTGGCCATGATTCCATGCACTGAAGATCTTAGTCATCGAAATGTCATGTCAAAACAAGGGGAATAAGGGCTCCAAGGGCCACACAGCTTCCAATCTACGTAGGGTACAATACCCATTCTGCAGGGCCACGCAGCTTCTGACAGCAGCGGCTAGATTTCGAGGGATCGGACCCGGGCACCACAACACTAACTGCGATGCCAAGCATCTCGAGGAGAAGGGCTGTTCAATCAGAAACGTTGTGGATGTTTCTTTTGGTTTGCGATCTGACGCAGCCGCGTATACTGTTTGTCTAACCAGCTGTCGGGCTGGGAGTATACCGATGACTAAACTCCTCCCTCTGAACCTCTAACCCTGACCCTGAACCTGATTTTGCCGATGATGTCTCGGGAGTCGGGAGTGAGACATGGATAGCTTACTACTAGGTATAGTATATACGTAGTCATGCAGGCTCATCTCTTTGCTTCACAATTCTTTGATCTCAGCAATAATCGTCGAACGTTCACAATGAAAGACTAAAAGCAGTGGTAAGGTCTAACCTTATGAACTCCCATCCCGCAGGCTGAGGTGGCGTGGCTGAGCTAGCGCAGGGTATACGAGTCCCTACAGCACCAAGACTTTTTGGTATACACTATCTACGTACAGAATCTACTCGAGTGGCACTTGCCTATAGATACACCCTTACGAAAGAAAAGATCTAGGGTCAGGTTTTCCCCCTTCCCTCATCTGGAACCATAATCAAAGACCAAGCCCACACACCATACCCACCAATCGCTTACAGCAAATAGCCGGGCAAAACCCAAGAAGCAAAAGAAAAGAAAACCCTCTCCATCATCGGCACTTAGTCATCCACCCGCTGCCGAGTCAACCGAGGCGCTGGACGGGAGTCGATCAGCCTCTTTTTGTTTTGCGTGCTGCTTGTCTCGTTTTCCTCGATGAACGATTGTCACTGGTGATAGTCTGGATGATATCTTTTCGCACCCGAGACTCCTTAATCCCCAGGCAAGACCCCAAGAAAGGAAAGAAAGCAAAGTTTTCCTCTTCGGACCCTCACATGATCAATGATGATCCTCGTGGAACAAGAAGGGAAGCAGAAGAAGATCTGCCAATATGTCTTGGCAGCAAACTAGCGGCCTGGTTGACTAAGCGGCAAGTGAGTAAGCTGGTAGGCCGAAAACCCTTCCCGGTCAAGAGTATTGGCTTCCCATGGACCTGATTTGTTCAACATGGAGATGTGCAGTCTGAAGAAACATGGTTCAGATCAGATCTTCACGAGATCATTCTGAAGACAGATGTCGCTCAAACCCTCCCTTAACTTTCTTTGCCTTAACCACTTTAGGATCTTTTTGTTTTCTTTATTTCGGTGATCGCAGCAACGGTGGTGCAGTGGTGCACCTCCCTCCCCTCCCTGATCTAGACTTAGACGTTCCGTAAGCGAGACCGCCAAGCCTGCTCTCGATTCCGGGTACGTACGTATGTGTATGTGCAACTGTGCAGAGTCGCACACTACTACAGTGACGACGACCCTGATTGACCCTAGAGACTATGCCGTGGGTAACTAATCCTGGCTATTCCCGCCCACGAGTTGAAACAGCCGCTGACTCAACAGCGGAGAATTACGTCTAGAGACATCGCCTCCGTATCTACATATAGTACTTGTATTGTAGCACATACGTACTGTACGACGCAAAATCCCATCACTGGTCCCTGGATCCGCGACCCATAGATTTTCCAAGTCCCGAGCCCCTGGACAGCCAAACCGGCACGGAAAGTTTGCGTGTGATATTTTACCCGGAAGGCATCCGTCCTGTCCTGTCCCAACTGTTCAAAAGCCTGGCTGGCACTGCAGCTAACTTTCTCGCTCGTTCAATTGCTTGCTTACCATTCCTATCTAGATTACGGAGTACTGTATCTTGGAACGAGGCTTCAATTCCATATTTCACCGGCAAATTGACTTTACACCCACTCCCAAAGAAAAAAGGAACACAGAGATCAATATTTTTTTCCCACCCGTCGGCCAGTCGACGAATCATCTTCTTGAATAACCCGGTTTGCCCCACAGATAAACAATAATAAACACCGAAGGGGAAAAAAAAAACAGTGGGACAAGTGCCGAGAAACAGAGACAAAAAGGGCAGGGCCAGAGAGAGAAGGAAGCCCTATGGACCCTTAAAATTCCCAAGTTCAATTTCTGGCTACGGTGCTACCCCGAACTAGCACGGAGCCAAGCCTCTACATATTAAAGCCCACTGCACTAACGATGCGGTCGGAGGGGGGACCAGGGGCGATGTGGTCTCTAGTGTACGGAACGGTAAGTCATAATACGTGATGGGGGTTTTTTTTCCCTTCTTCTTTCTTGCTCGTGTCTTGGCTCGGGTCTAGCTCTTCCCTTCTGTCGGGATTTCCGGGGCAAGAGGGACGGACGCCATCAGACAATGTCTTTGCATGTGGGAAAAAACGGTATTTATAGGGTATGGGAGAGAAGTATCCGGGCTGAGACAATGATTCAGATCTAAGCGACGCGACCAGGTGTCCATGAGTCGTACGGCTCCAGTAAGATCAGAGGTTTGTTGCGAAGAGAAAGAGATAGTCAGCTATCTCCCATCTCGAATCGTCTCGGAGAACAGCAATCCCGTGCCCTAACAGCCACCACCTTACTAGAGTAGTTGCGCCGCAAAAGACGGAGAGGGGGGAAGGGGAAAGGACGCGTGTGCACCCCTCGGATTTAAGGTTAGCCTGACAAGCCACGAAACTGCAGGGTTTGGTGACGGCCCTTTTCTGCGCGCGTTCTCTCTTCGCATGCAGACAAAACAGCCGAGACGGAATGGGCAATAGTGATCACGAGGGTGTCTCGTGGTTGAAGGTTGTGATGATCATGAGAGACACTAACTGTAACAGTGAGGATGTAGTGCTATGTAGAATGAACTCATAGACAGACAGGTTAAGACTTGATGATTCGCAGATCGACGTCCATAGTATGTGCACAATCCAAGAGGTCGAGGGGGTCTAGCCAGATCAATCAACAACCCTACATTTTTACTCAAGTCGTCACAAATACCGGATCGGGAAAAGGGTGTTGGACTCGCCATGAGAGCGGGTGCGGTATGGACCTTACTGCGGCTTGGAGGTACACTGGTACAGTACTATGTATGTATGTAGGTGTTGACTGTTCAAGGAGAACTAGGAGGTAGATACACAGCGCATGGTCCCTCACCACGAAGGATAACTCCACCATCTTGACAATCAATGTCGACATGTTGGTTCGTTGGGGTTAGTCTCGTTCCCTTCGATAAGCACGGAAAACCTGCTACCAGATCGGTTGCGACACGGAGAAAGGAACAAGAATAGTGCCTGAAGTAATCATCGACCACAGACTCAGACTTGCTCCGACTAACTGACTACGAGTACGTGGTCTACAGTACACAGTACAGTCCGTACAACTACATCCTCACTCAGCAAAGCGAGAAGAGTCCTGTCCTCGGCCCTGAGATCTTCAGGGTCCGAAAAGAAAGTTTGGGAACCGTAGCTTGTCGGATTGATTACGTAGGCCCACTCAAACATTCCCCGAAGGGCCCGAACATGAATACGAGTGCGAGCTTTCATCCCAGCTCAGGGTCGTTCTGTTTTTTTTTTTTTTTCTTGTTCTTTTTGGCACCTTGGGGGATTGAATTTTTCCAGAATTTCGGACCCACGCATATACTTTCCTCCAGTCATGTCCCATTGGCTTCTTTCGCAAAATGGGTGGAATCACTAGTGCAGGGAAAATGGGCTTCGCTTGGCTTTTACCCTAGACTCTGCTAGTGTTTCTCACTAGGCTTGAGGGAGAAAGAGAGAGAGAGAGAGAGCGAAGAGGGAACTCGGTTCGGTCTAGCATGCAGTAAATTAGGTGATTTTGGAAAAGGGATTCTCTTTGAATGTTTTCTCTCTCCCATTCAAATGGCTGTGGTATTTTCCTTTTTGTCACTTGGGAGGGAAATATTCAAAACGATGTTCCCACCAGTGATTAGGAACCAAAGAAGTTGGGGTAAATAAGCCCCCGGTTATACAGCTGATCCTTTCCGATCATGTGGCCTGATATCATATCATTATCAACCTTCTTCCACCACTACGTACCGACTGCCCCCTTTACCTACCTTATCACACAGCACAGCAACAAACCCCCAAAATGCAATAAAAAAAAAATACCTGAGCAAAATCACAAGCCACTAGGATCAACTAAAATCCACAATTCACGCAGGGCTGCGTAAGCAGAGACGTCACTCAGTGGGGTCTGAGATTTGACATGCCGCGCGGTGGAAAACTAGATTCGTTTCCCCCTCCCCCTTCTGCTTTGCTGGAAGATACCGAGTAAAATAATACACTTGGGGTTTGGTGTTCTTGCCGGAGACTAGCCCCGAAAATGCCTAACCTGGGTTCACTAGTGAGAGGAGGGTGGTCAGGGCGAGCGAATCTTTGGTTGGTGTATGCCCTCTGCCTTCGCTCTAGTCTAGACTACTTACTAGTAACTTAGATGAGGTGTGAGGGCCCATGCTGCTTGATGGGAACATCATGTGGGTTTGACAGTAAGTAGGTAATGCTATCGGAAAACACGAAGAGATCACTTGAATAAGGAATTATGTCCGTTTCCTGGTGTGAGTGACACACGTAAGCTGCACCTAAATGGAGAAGCCTTTGCGTTGAGAACACAGCCCTGAATATGGGGTCAATTGTTATGGATGACGAGGAACAAACATGGGAGAAAGGGGGCCGGCGCCGAGAATACCAATAATGTCGACGCCGACGACGACGACGACAACAACAACAACAACAACAACATCACCACATCAACAAAGAGGACGACGACGACAACGACGACGACGACAGAGCTTGTCTCCATTTCAGGGACCGCCATTAGACTACCGACGAAACGCTCTCACAGCCGCAGATGATGAGATTGGTATCATATCTAGCGCCAGTTTGCGTAATTCTTGTTTCCCTTGCCCTCCCCCCTCAGCATTGCCGCTTTGATTCGCCATGGTGAAGGCCCTGTACTGTATCTTTCTCTCTTGATTGCTCTTATCTTGGTTCCTTCGTCTCGCTGAGCGAAAGGTAAGCCGCATAATCTCTCTCGCCTGGGGCTGTCACAATCGATCGAGAAATGCCCTTTTGATCATGGCAGTTTACGTGGACGCCTACGAATGAGTGGAACTCCAATTTGCGGCCGATAATTAGGCTGGTGGGGGTAATTCGGATGGAAGAACAAGATTATTTGGCGCCGACTACGGAGTTGACCTAGCACTAGATCGAGCAGATTTACGGGGACGCAGGGCGCTCCGTCGGATCGGTCTGTCGCTTTGCATGATGAGAGAGAAAGAGGAGAAACCGGCGGCTTCTTCTTCGTCTCATCATCCACCGCACCGTTCTTTCTGCCTGGATAGAAGTGCAATTTCGGGGCTCCTCGATCTTCTCCCTCCCCCCCCTCTCTCTCGGCCCCTGTTCAACTCTCAACGATATAAGGCTTTGTCAGGAGGAAGCACAGGGGCGCGGCCTACTTCGAAGCTAAAGCTAAGGTGGTCTCTGTCCGCCCCAGAGGGCTGGCTGATAACGAGGCGTGCTACCTCGGACAGCCCCCTCTCTCAACCGGGAAGTAAGTACGTACTGCCCTGCAGGAGGAAAGAGCCTACGTGTGCACTTGTGATGTCTCTCAGCTGTAGGGTCGACTCCTTGGGAGGCAAAATAGAAGTAACATAAGCTTTGCTGACTCGTAACATCCGCCGCCCCCCCCTCTCTTCCTGCAAGCAACATGTAGTTACAGTATGTATACATCCTGAGAAGACAAGAAGAATGTCACTCAATCAGCTACCGTAGCCCAACAACCCCCCCGGCGAGTGCGGAGAAAAAGGGTCTCGTGCGTCTAGGACGCCGCAGCAGCGTATCGAGACGGACTTGCGGCACGCAAAAGTAAACCTGCAGGGAAAATCATGCCTAGTCAGTGCTAGTTGAGTCGAGCACCTTACGACAGGACAATACAGACTTCATCCCGCCTGTGAGGATGACGACTTGGTTTCCAATATTGGGTAGATGAAAGACGCAAAAGCCCGCGCATGGCGTCGTCAGAGTAAGCAGCCAACGCGCAACAAGCCTTGTGAATTGCTCGGTGTGTTGGATTGTCTTTTCCAGTACTCGTCCGCAGCGGTACATCTCACTTGCCGTTTCTAGATTGATGGTAAGGTTGGTTGGTTCAAGAGAGAGGGGGTGAGGGGGGACTTGGCTCTGTGTCATTGCCGTGGCATGCGTTAGCGGGGGAGCTCGATTGGAGTGAAGCTTGAGTCGGCCATGATCTGGCATGGCTATCGGAAATCCAGGGTCATGCTCGCCCTCTCGCTTCGCAGTTGGGACGGTGGCGCACGGTATGGAGGGTGTGGTCTTGCAGGTTGCTTGTTGGAACTTTTTGCTCGCTAGACCGCCCGAGCTGTTCATGTTCTCGCCATATCATATCGTCTCTCGTAGACTGACTCGTGCGATGCAGAGTCTGAACACGAGGACGCGACTCTACGTCCCTACAAAGAACCCCTGCGATGTCTCTAATGCAGCCACTGAGTTCACACTAATGGACCTCTCTCTGAAGTCAGACACCAGAAACGCCCGTATGGGTATGTCTTAGCGGCATCACCACTCCATCGCTTCAGTCTTTGGATCATCTTCTCTCTCTGCAATTTCTCAACTGACACATCCTGTCACTTAGAACGCAGTCATCCCTTTGCAGTCACTGCACAATGATACGCTATACTTCCCGAATTACCAGTTTCGTGAGGCCATTGCGCACCACACCCGAGACATGCATCGCTAGCTCAGCCATGCAGACTTAGTGCAAGCAAAATCTTACTATCTATCAGACTAGGCTATTTGCGAGTTTGCCATGATTGAATCGATTCTCTCTTCTAACCTCAATCCGGAGAATCACGTCTTACCTGGGTCGTGGACCTCGCGACGCGTGGGAAGCCATGGAATCCAGCGCGGGGGGAAATTGGCGGGGTTGGGATCGACCATTGTGGCACTGTGGGGGTAAGCGCGATCCCCAGCATACTTTTGAATTTGGCAGATCTGAAGCTAATTGTGGAGATGGTGGGAAGACAGTCTCTGATAATGATAGAAGGACGCATGCGGTTTCTTTCAAGAGGCGCGGAACCCGCATGCATCGCATTCCATTCCTCGAAGCATCGGACCTGGGCCGAGATGAGTCCATGACAGACGGTCAGCACCGGTCCATCATCGCTATCAGTGTGGATGAAGATACGATCGACTCAGCTGTTTACCAGCCACAGCTGTTATCGCAGTTGAACACATACCGAGGCGCGTCGTGGGTGACTGGGTGACTGCATTATCCCAACTTGCCCTGGCCAGGAATGTGGCGGGTGCAATCTAGCCCTTATCGACACACATTCCAGGAGAGGGCAGACTGCTGGCAAAACCCTTATCACAATTGTGGCGAGTGGCGAGGAGTTTTGGAAGCTGTTCTGGCATGATTGCCGGCCGCTTGGAATGTGAGATCGCGTCCGCCGACTCGAGGAGTGCTGGCTCGCGACGCGACCCGAGCCTCTCATGCCGAGTCTCAGATCAGTCTATGAAACTTGGGAGTTATTTCAAGGCCCTTGTCGGGTTTCAAGTCGGTCTAGGTGTGGGTTGGGGTCTCTGTGCTCAGTTTTGACAATATCTGGATCTATAGGAGATCCTGGAGGGAGAGGTAGATACCAGCCTCTTCTCGATTTCAAATCCGTCGGCGAGATTCCGAATAACTCGGCCATCGCGCACGAAATCACGACCGGCCACCCGATCGATGGTCAGGAATGTGTCCGAAAGTGCAAATCAAGCCAACCGAGGGGCCTTTCCCCGCGATGCTTCCCCAGCCGTCAACATTCCAGGGGGCGGCAGACTCCTTCGTCCAGGGCTCTTCATGGCGATCCCAGAAACTATATCTACCACGACACCGTCACTCCTTCCTCCATCATCAGCATCATCATCATCATCAGCTTCATCATCATAGAGTCTAATCTCTCCAGTCTTCTCATCTCATTGATCAGCTTCGTCCTTGGCTCGCTCCAATCTACATCATTCAACTCAATCTCCATCTCACTCAAGCATCCACCCCAATCACCCAATCAATCAATCAATCACAATGGCCATCCTCGCAAAGGTTTCTTCAATGGCTTGCTTCCTCATCGCCTGCCTCTTCTTCTCCTCCGTTATCCAGGCCCTCCCCGTCCCTGGCTCCGACACTCCATCCGGAGTCTCCTCCATTGCACTGGCAGCACGCTCACCGGTACGTTCTCCCTTATCGAGAAAAACCACCCCAACCATCACCAACTCCCTGACTAACATACACCTCCACAGCGCGAAATCCCCAACAGCGACGAAGAAAAAGGTCTACTGAATGGCCTGCTCGAAGCCATCGGCCTCCCCAACCTTTCCAAACTCACCCACTGGAAAGACATCGCCGAGCCACAAAGCTCCCATCCCGAAGACACAGATGACACCGATGATTCAGATGTCGACTCCAGCGACGCAAACGCCCCGACCAAGTCCGACTCAGACACCGATGATTCAGACTCCGACTCGGACCCCCACGCGCACGCCCACTCCTTCATCCCGGATCACTACAAGAACTTCAAGGACAACTGGACCCCGGCCATCGACGACGGCAACAGCCTCACCCCGACAGTGGACTCCAATGGGGACGATATTGAGAGCGACGAAGACTTTGACAACGTCAACAACGGCTTGCTCTCCCCGCCGACTTCCACACCCTCCAACAAGAATGATGACCTCCCCAAGCCCACCGAAGACCCCAAGGGGTTCATCAGCTCGCTCACGCAACGGCTCGAGGATGCTTTGAAGGCTGCGTTTGACAGTCGAGATGAGTTGACTCTATAAACGGGTCAGCATCAGATCGCTTTGGTTTCTGACAATTTGGACGGAGTTTAAGAATAGCTTGTTTATTTTCTTGCTTGATTTGACTTTTTTGTCTCCCTCTTCTGGTTCCACCGATGTTTTGGGATATTTTGATATATTAGGGCTGTGGAGTTTTGGGTATCCGGGCAGGCGCTTCAGTTTTTTTTTTTTTTTTGGAACGGTTACGGGAGTCTTAGGTCCTTTTCTTGCTTGGATGGTGTTTTGGGGAAACAAAATAGCGAAGGATCTTGTTCAGCGATTTTTTTCTCACTTCGGGGTGGTTGGATAGAGGGGCGGGTGCATGAAGGTGAAGGGTGAATGTAAATTAGATCAGACAGTTATGTATTCGAGAGCTTTCTATTTCATTTTGTTTAGTTCTCTTTCTCTTCTTCTTCTTTCTTTCTTTTCTATTTCGGGGAGTTCATGCTGGATGCACGCATGAAATAAATGCCATGACCAATGGCTGCGGTTGTGATACCTGGTCTTGGTCTTGTGGTCCGATACTGCTGATCCATGATCCATTTGTATAAAGACGGCTTTGTGATATAGGGCTACGTACTAGATTCAATGGATCCCGGGTACTTGATACACTATGCCAAAAGGATTCCTGAGCTTATGTGTGCCTGATGAAAATCGTAGTCACTCGACCGAAGTCTTCGTTGATACAATCCATTAGTATAGACTGACTATATCCAAAGGATCAATCGACTACGAACGTGCTCATGTATACCCAGAGCTATGGTAACTCTTCAGGCTATCAAAAACAAAGCTAAAAAAACAGAGCGCAAAACAGGAGGCAAAAAAAAAAACAAGAAATCCCCAACCCCATTTCCTGTTGCCTTTACAAACCGCGCCGCAGCACACGACCGGTAAGCAGCAAGTTAGTTATAGAAGTGAAAAAACAACATCAAAAATCAAAAACGTCAGCGACAGGATTTGAACCTGTGCGGGCGAACCCAATAGATTTCTAGTCTATCGCCTTAACCACTCGGCCACACTGACTATTCATGTTGGATGGGGAAAATCTTGCGTCTATGTTCCAGTGTGTATGGAAGGATCCACATTTGAGCGGGGCGGACGGTTGGATTAGGGTTCGGTTCCCGAGGCCTTCTCGATAGCACATAGCTGGGGGTACAGTGCAGTACTTGCCTTCCTGTATGGAATTTGGGATCGTGGTGGTGATTTGTGTATCTAGGTGTGATTAAATTGCAATGGAGGACGGTGGTCTTGTTTCAGATAGTTGTTGAGGAGGGATTGCCGATGTTCTATGTCTATATCTGCACCGTTGACCGGGTCTCGGGCAGATTGATACTTGGCAAAGGAGCTGTAGAGGATTAAGTCGAGTCCACGATTGACTCTGTCGGTCAGGGCGATTGTCCGCTGAGAATAAGCAAGAGGAGCTAGCTGTCTTGTCATACGTATTGCGGGATGTACTGTACAATCTTAGAGAGGTTCTGTCCAGGCGAAGAATAGGGTTGGGCCTGGAGTATATATACTATCTGAAGTGTTTCGAGTATACGAGCTAACGGGTCCGACGTCTTCCTCGCGCACCGCTTGAGACTGCATCACACCCCGTGCCTCGGATGTGACAGATAGCAGCTGTAACCTCGAGGCTCCTGATCTACAGGGTTTACTCACTGACCTTTTCACCTTCACGGTGTTTGTGTATGACTGCTGGTTCAATACCGGGCTGAGCGGTTAACGGTGTAGGCTGTATACAAAACCCCTTCGAACCTTGTGGCCATATCCCTTAGCTCTACGAGACACCGGAGTACGACTCGCTCCATCTCCCCCCGCGCTACCCGGAGCACGTCAGCCAGGGCATCCTCAGCATCTGGCGGGGACAACCGGCGACAAGGTACGGTAGAGTCTGGCCGGGGTGCCGCGGTCGAGTATGGCCGAGATGGAGGGAGCCCCGGGCAATCTTGCGCAGAATGTGGTGGTGAGAGGGGTGGTATTGATTACGATGGTTATAGATGGACGAATATGGAGATTGAAATTATATGTAAGTAGTATTGGCTATGGGTTAAGTTGGTTGGGATTGGATTGATGTCTATGGTACTGTTGTTTGTTGATGCCTGGATAAGCGGGTTGTCAGCTTCGTGTTGACAGAGCTTGGGTGCTCGAATAGCGAGAATCAAGAATAAGTAGGGCGATAGATCAGATCAAGTGTAGAAGAGTCAACATCCAATCTCACAGTGAATTAGGAGACTGTCCGAATTGCAGAATTCTTCATTTTTGCTCATCATATCGGGGGTTGGTGGGTTGTTTTGTTGTGTGGGGTGGTGGTAGGGAGGATCAACAGCCAGACTTACACTTGTTAGCTGGAAAGAGAGGTGAGTGGGACTGAGAACATCATGCACAAGTCCCTTCAGGCTGCGTGATGCAGTCTTGTGCACTGCGCCTGCGCAGTCGACCAAAGAAGAGGGAGGAAGGAAGAGAGAAGGAGGAGAGGAGGAGGAGAGGAGGAGAAGGCCCGGTTTTGATCCTCCGCCGATGGCCGGGTCACGTGCCGCATGGGTATACTCGAGCAACAGTGGATGCGATCGCATAATCTCCGGCCTCCGTCCGCCTCTTGCTGTCCGTCTCCCAAACAACAACCATCGCAACTTATTCACCACCACCTCCTCCTCCACCACCTGCATTCACTCCCATCCCTGTGACCAAAACCACACTCGAAGCCATCACCTGACCACCCCTCCACACCCCACTCTGTCACAATGACAGAATCACCGGGCTCCCCCCTCTCCTCCATCGCCTCCGACGAGGACATGTCGGACCGCGACGACCTCAAGCAGCCCTTCTCCCCGTCCGGTTCCGTCACCAACTCCAACATGCCTCCCTCGAAACGCCGTCGCACGGGCGGCGTCACCTCCTGGGACCGCGCGACCCCGGTCTCGACCACCTTCCCGGACGACCTCCCGCCGCCCTCGCCCTCGACCTCCATCTCCTCCGACACCTCCGGCGAGATCCCCAACTCGCCCGGCACGTACGCGCTGATCGGCGGCAGCATCGACGACGACTACAGCGGCCAGGCCAACGACCAGGTAACCGTGTGTCGCTGGGACGGCTGCGACGCCGGCGACCTGGGCAATATGGACGGGCTGGTCAAGCACATCCACGACGAGCACGTCGGCAGCCGCCAGAAGAAGTACTCGTGCGAGTGGGCCGACTGCAGTCGGAAGGGCCAGACGCACGCCAGCGGCTATGCGTTGCGCGCCCACATGCGGAGCCACACCCGCGAGAAGCCGTTCTACTGCGCCCTGCCTGGTTCGTCCTTGGCCCCGGAGACCCCTTCCTTCCCTTGGTGCATGGCATTGGTACTAACTGATGGATGCAACAGAATGTGACCGCAGCTTCACCCGCTCTGACGCCCTAGCCAAGCACATGCGCACCGTCCACGAGACCGAGGCCCTCCGCCCGTCGGACCCCGTCCCCAAACACCACACCACGCTCGCCGCGGCGGCCGCGGTCGCCGCCGCCGCCTCCTCCTCGGCCGCGCCCACCCCGACGGGCACGCCGGCGGGCAAGGTGCAGCGCATCAAGCTGAAGCTCTCGCAGCCCAAGGCCGAGGACCCGTTCGGCGACTACGGCGAGAGCGCGACCGAGGAGACGGAGGAGGATCTGTCCGTGCCGCCCGTGGGCTCGGAGAAGGGGTTCGACGTGCACGAGCTGCTGCTCGAGGGGCCCCAGTTGTACCGGCTGCTGCTGCGGCAGATCCACTGGGCGCGCAAGGAAGGCGAGCAGCTGCGGGCGGCCGGCGAGAAGATCCTGGGCAAGCGCAAGGAGGCCTGGCTAGAGAAGGAGGCGGTCTTTGATGATCTGGTCGAGGCCGAGCTGGGGCTGTTCCGCACGATCGCCGGCCAGGAGGGCGCGTTGCTGGCCGGGATGGAGCTGGATCCGCCCGCGGCCGAGGGGGAGCTGGAGCCGGAGCCGGAGCCGGAGCCGCTGAAGTCGACGGAGTTGGAGGTCAAGGATGATTCGGAGGCTGTTCCGTCATGACGTGCATTCCCCAGACAATAAGTTCTCGCCTTGTTTTTGGGGTAGGTGTTGTTGTGAACTGACGTATCGGGCGGACCCAGAGTCGCGGGTTTCTGGTTTTCTTTCTGTCTCTCAATGTTTGCGGGCTTGTCAAAAATATCCCTGGGTTCTCTTTCTTGGGTTCGACATTTTATTCCTTGTGTACTGTATGGTATGGTATGGGATAGGGGGAGTTCTGGGCGCTATAATTTGATCATCACGGCCAGTTGGCCATGGCAACCTACAATCACTTACTTCTTAACACGAGTCGACTAGTTTCGCCCTGTAATTCTTGGTCACCGTAGAGGCTGAAGCATCCAGCTGATAAGCAGACAAACGCAGCGCGAGGATTAACCGGGCTGTATTATATCCAGCATGCCCGAGTCAAGCAGAGCACACTGCAGGCAAGGCCAGACTCCGCGCACGACACCAATCAACACGAACGTGCACTCCGTTATACAATGCAGAGCATCATCAATTCGATTCCAGTATCTCATATCCTCAATGATGATCAAATGACAAAGAACAAAAAGTCCAAGCAAAGACGAACCCCCTGCATGTGCATGTTCATGTCCAAAGACAGCACAATTCAACCACACCCAGATCATCCCGCCACCAAGACCCTAGTCATGTCCCAACCCGCCAGAATATCCGATCGTATCAAGAACCACGCCAGAAACGCGACGGAGTTGTAAGTTACCGCTGACGATCGATCGAGGGGGATGTACATGTACATGGCCCTATGCCCAGGGAGGTACATCCGTTAGCACCCTCACTCCCATCTAACTGTTGAGTTCCAAGGCATGAACTCCACGCCGAAGAGAACGGCCGACTTACCATGACCACGTGCAAAGGAGTGAAGTGAGTGACCGAGTCCCGTCCAAGCTCAAGTGTATTGTCCGAAGGACTGCACCAGGTGTTCGTGACGGACGATGAATCAATACCTAGTAAGTAACCCCCCCACCCATCCCCGGCGGCAGATCATTGGGCCCGGAGGCGCAGTAGCACCGGTGGCCGCGCTTGGAGCAGTTGCAGTTCGTCCGGATGTGGCCGCAGTAGCAGTGCCGGTATTTGTCGCAGACGCCCCAGCAGGGCTTGTGTCATTGTTTTGTGTTAGTGGTGGCATGGGTGGGATTTGGGATCGAGGGGGCCACGACTTACCTCGCCACGCGCGACGAGCGGGGAGTTTTCGGTGGGGACTGGGGTGGTTGTGGTGTCGGTGTCGGTGTCGGTGTCGTCGTCTTGGGGATCGGGTTTGTTGATGTCGGATGGAATGGTGGTGTCCTCATCGGTGTCTTCGTTGGGGGTTGTGGATGTGATGACGATATCATCCTCCTTAGCCTCGGCCTCATCCGCAGTGAGTGTGGTGATGGATCCTGTGGCGTTGCCAGCGACAGTGTCCAAATCACGGGGCGGCAGGAAAAGGAAGACGCATTTGCAGCTCTCGCCGGGGATCTGGCAGCGACAGGTCTTGCCGCGGCAGTTGCATTTGTGCTTGCGGCTGCAGGTGCCGTAGCAGGTCTGTCCGATCTTTGTATCAGTGAACTGTGTGTGTGTGGTGGTGGTGGTGGTCTGTTTTCGAGAAAGAAAGGAGGGGGAACGTACCCGCTGGAGAATGGAGAACTCATCATTCACGGCATGCGAGAACCCAGGTCGCTCGGATACTTCTGCATCTTCGTTTTCAGGGGTAGGGGCAGGGGCAGGGGTGTTGTCAACAGTATCAGCAGTCTCTGGCGCGGTGTCAGCTGTCTCTGCAACAGCCGCGTCGACACGGTCCGAAGTATCCTCATCGCGACGCCAGTTCTTGCAGTAGCAGGGGGCACCGAGTCGGTGGCAGGGGCAGACGATGTTATAGGCTCCGTGCTTGCAGTGGCATTTGCCTTCCTTGGAGCACATCACGCCGTGGCAGGTCTGGAATCCATTAGCATTAGCATTGCCTTTCGTGTATGGCCAGGGGGGAGACTGACTGTAGGCTTGCGCTCTATGAGCTCGCTGATAGGAGAAACACCAGGAGCCGCATCGTCGAGATCCTCGCTTGCAGCGTCAGCGTCTTCAGTAGAGGGCGTGGCACTCTTCACTTCATCAGCCGTAGTGCTGTTGATGTTGACAGAGGGAACATCCCGGACCGCGCGCCACGGACCCTTGCACTGGCACTTCTCCCCGAGTCGCGCGCACCCACACCGGGCGACGACGTCGCGTCCCTTGCACAGGCACTGGTACTTGTCCTTGCAGTTGCCGATGCACTTTTTGCACGTGCCGCGGCATTGCTGTTTCTGGGGTGTGTTAGCTGGTGACTTCGGTTCGGGATATCAGAAGGGGGGGCTTACGCCTTTGTTCAAGAGCGTATTGATAGGGGAAGTATCTTCGTCGGATGAGTCAATGTCTATGGAGGGGGTATCGTCAGAGGGGACAGTATCAGTGGCCGCATCAGAGACATTAGCACCATCGGCCCCGACATCAGAAATTGCATCACCCTCATCAACGGTGTCCTTTGCATCAGCGTCGATCATGTCCCTGGAAGCCAGCACGTTACGCCGGCAGCTGCACTTCTTGCCTGGGTTTTCGCAGTAGCAATACACCCGGACACCGCTCTTGTTCCTGCAGAGACACATGTTCGAAGGGGAGCATACGCTGCCAATGCAGCCCTTCTGATTGATATTAGCTCGATGCATGTGTGTCCTCAGGCTCATGGGACCTACAGCCTTGGAGTGCAGAAGTGTATCGACAGATGAGGCGCCAGTTGTCATCTCATCGAGGCCGTTGTCACTGACGGTGTCACCACCAAAGTCAGAAACCGCAGTGACGACGCCGTTTCCAGAGGTCTGGGACGCGTGATCATCGTCACCAGGAGTAACAACATCAGAAACAAGACCGTATGAGGTAGCCAGGGTAGTCTGTATCACCAAACCAAAGACCAGTAAGAGAATGAACTTGAAGGAGAGCATCTTGAAGGAAAGACTGAGTGTTATCAGATGGAAAGGATTGAAAGAGGATCGATGATGGATGGGGATGATGAAGGAGAGACGAGAGGAGAAGGAGGAGGATGAAAGAAAGAGAGGGTGAGGAAGAAAGAAGGAGAGGAGGGGGATCGGTGGTGATAGAGGTCATATTTATAGCCCAGTCCGTGAGGATGTAGGAAACAAGTGAATGTCACGGAAGAGATTACTGGCTGGATTGGGCACGTTAAGCGAATTTCAGTGAATGAAGTTGGATTTTGATATGAGGCCACGCGTTGTTGGTGCTTTCTTCCACGGTGTGTCAGAGAAAGTCTTTCAGCTGATATGAATCATCGGTTGAACCTGCTGTGCGAGATATCAGAAGCACCGGAGATGATGGGTGGCCTATCCAAGTCGACCCAACTGCGCTGTGGTGTTTCTCTTTCCAGAACATCGTCAAGAGTATCTGACGAGAACTACTTATGTGAGTGATCACCCAGGCTGACTTGGCTGGAGGGCAGAAACACTTCTGATGCGTTGTTTTATAGATATATCTTATCAAGATGATTTGTGTTTGCGCAATCATAGTGAGCCACAGTCTCCTGAGTTGCAACCGACCTCGCGACATGACTTCAATGGTCTGCAATCACAGAACCAAGTACCACGCCACATGACACCCCAGCTTCGGCATCCAAGCAATTCCAGATCTCCAACGCCGCAACCAACATCGCCAGCATGATACAACACAGCACCGTGTTCTCTCTCATGCGCAATCGTGTTGATGATAAACGGCCATACCACGGTAGTTCTAATCGCAAGCACCACAGCAAACCTTATAGTCGCTCAATATTTTCTACGGTAGGAGGTCCGTCGACAGCACCACTTACCCCGTGCCAATCGTACCTAGAAAGAACTTCGCAAAGGAGACCGTCGCGCAGAGACTTGATCACCTATATCTCACGCTTGAAGTATGGCTCCAAGAATCATGGCCGCCACAACATGTTATATAGCCAACGGCATGTTACCTAGCCGAAGAAGAGAAACCCCAAAGTCAATCGACTCTCGGCAGATCTAGGTAGAATGTAGGTAGGCCGTCGACAATACCACGCAAGGTTCTATGAGTCTCTACAAGCAGACTTATAATCTAGGTCTGATTTTTCCTCGTTACTCTGCAGTCTGATCTGTATCAAGAGAACGACCGAACTGGCTGAGGTGATAGTCGGGAAAAGATTGCTTCAATCTGGAAGACGGAGTTGTCTCAATCGCTGGCGCGTACAGTATTTGATAAGAACGGGAGTAGGTTAGATTGCTCCAGCTCTCAGAATTGGGAATACTTTCTCGAGGGCCTTTTCTTTCCAGTTTGGTTCTGTATTATGAAGATCGTAACGCCTACAAAACATATAAAGGATGTGGAACAGCTCGCGCAAGTCATAGACCATCCCCGCTACTAGCTATGACCAGACCATTACAACGGAGGTGTTCAAATCATAGTACACTTGGAGGGTAACCCGCATGGACCCTCTTTCTTTGCCGGCTGAGCTGGCTGCGCATTCGCATCACTACCACCCTGCTGCACCGTCCTCTCCGGCCCCGTCGCCTTCGCCGTATTGCGCTGCTGCCCTCCCGCCGTCGCGGGGGCCTCAGCCTTGGTGGCACTATCTTGTAGTCACGCGAAATTGACCCGGGAGAGGTGCTCATAGAACGACTTGCCCTGGATCTCGGCAATCTGGAGCTCCAGCGCCGTCGGCTGGCGGGAGCCATCGGCGCCCTAACATCCGCCAAAAAGAGTCAGCAACCACCATCACATAAAAAACCCAGAAAAGAAGGAAAAGAAAAAAGACAAACCGCAAAAGTCCCCGCCCCCCACGCGGACCCCCCATGAATCTCCTCCAGATTCGCCAGCAGCGGGAACGCCGTCTTGTAGCCGAGCGGCACGTACAGAAACCCGTGGTGGGCGAGGGTGCTCATCGCGGCGATGGCGGTCGACTCCTGGCCGCCGCCCAGCGTGCCCGTCGAGACGAAGAGCCCCGCGTACTTCCCAAAAAACCCGCCGGTGGCCCAGATGCTGCCCGTGCGGTCCCAGAAGGCCTTGAACTGCGCGGGGAAGTTGCCGTACCGCGTCGGGATGCCGAAGAGCGCGGCGTCGTAGTCCAACAGTTGTTCGGGTTTTTCGAGCACCGGGACGGAGGATTTGGGCGGCGCGTGCATTTTGGTCAGGACTTCGGGGGGGAGGGTTTCTTGGATTCTATTCACGGTGGCCGGGCGTTAGTTTGATGGGGATGGGTGGGTGGCGGGGGCATAGATCGTGGTATACGGGCGAGGCATGGGCTTGCTTACTGGAAGAGGTCGGCGGTGCCGCCCGCGGATTGGATGCCTTTGAGCTCGGCTTGGGCTAGTTTTTCGATGTGTCCGTACATCGAGTACTAGAGTCCATCGTGCAGTGGTTAGTTGGGCGCGGTTGATTGGGGAGAAGCCATTGGTGAGAATGGCAAGGGGGCCGTACGTAGACAATGGCAATTCGGGGCGCCATGGTGAAGAGCTAGTTGTCGAAAATGAGAAACAAAATGATAGACGTGAAGTTCGGTAGAGGACTAAATGGAGGTGGAAATCAATTCAAAGATATGTGCAGATGGTTCAACCTCAGGGGCTTCCAACTATGTCGGTGGATATATAGTAGTGAGATCATTCATGTCACGCATCACATGGCGGGGCTGTGGTGTTCTGCACTCCACCCTCCTGCCCCGCGGCGCTCCAAGACCTCTTCTGTCATTCAATGCTTGGTTTGACTTACTGGTACGGTGGTTCTAGACAATTGGTGTGTGGAAGCGGCCTCGTTGCGGCCTCGCGAAGGTTCGGCAGTCGAGAAGAACCACAGAAAGACGCCCTCTCCTCGAGGACGTCACAGTCTTCTGTCTCTGGGTTAGGGACGGGGCCAGATTCAGGCTGAATTAAGCTATATCTATGACGCTGCAAAAGATCTACATGACGTGGTTATCTGCCGAAACGGCGAACCATGGGTCGTCCAGGTTGCAATTGAGGGCTGGTTCCGTGGATTGCGGGATCACCACTTGGGGATGCTTGGGAGCGGGAATGGAACCGCCATCGCATAGTCCAACCGTTAATACCTTCGATCAAGGGATGGTAAAGGGATAAAAGGGCGAGGGAAAGAAAAAAAGAAGCGCTGTAGAATGTAATATCAGAGTGATACATTTATAGTGCCGTTGCGTTGATCGCCGTAGTTATCCCTGCTGCTGCAATTGCCCCGAGGGGAGTCGGCTCGACCCTACCTACTTTGTTACTTGAACATTTGTGTTTCAAAATTATAGGCTGAGTCATCTTGATCAGTGTAGCATAAGAGGTCCCAAGGACCATTGGCATCTCCTTGCTTGGATAGTGTCCGATGGTGATTGGCATTAAGTACAGATCCCGACACCATGCCACCACGCTTCGAGAGCATGAGCGTACCTGAACTTTTCCCCCGCACGGCACGTCTAGTATACTACGATCAAGGATAAATAAGTTCATGAGACTGGTGAAAAGCATAGATAAAGATATGCGTGCTGTTGAGCGTTACAATACAAGAGTTTAGAAAGCCTTTATTGATCTGATAGGGAGCGCTCATTCCACTTGCATGCCGATATGAATGCACCTACCTCTCTTGAGGGTGGTAACCTAGACAGCTTATATGTCGGTGGTAGATTTAATCGCTATATATGCGAGAGGGAAAGAAATTATGCGTCTTAGATTACCCTAAACCGGTACTATCTAGCTTTTTCTCCTGACTTACGGAGGCTACTAGTCAACCTCCTTGCCTTGGAAGCCCGAAGATAAATTACCTTCCATAGTAATATATATATATGTAATTAGGGTAGCATGCGCACTAAGTTAACGAACAACCACCTTCCCAGGGTTCCTGCGGTAAGTTTCATTAGCGATCAACCGTAACCGAAAGGAAAGAACTTGGAAGCTTTGGCCCTTACATGATCCAGTGGGGGTCAATGGTGCCTTTTAGAAGTTTCTGTTGTCATGGTCAGTTAGTCAGTCAGTCAGTCCGCAAGCAATTCCGAAGCAACCGAAACCCCCCCAGACGATGCAGCGCCAAATTTGACCTCAACAGGAGAACATACCATGAAGCTGATAGTCTCGTCCCTCAATTCGAGCTGCAGGGCTTTCTTTTTCCCAAAGCCAATGCCATGCTCGCCCGTGCAGGTGCCCTCCATGTCAATCGCCCGCTGAACCATCCTTTCCACGGCCGCCTGGGCCTTCTCGACCTCGTCGGGCTTGGACGCGTCGTACGTGATGTTTTCATGGAAGTTGCCATCGCCCACGTGGCCCTTCACGCAGGCGTTCAGCCCCAGGGCTGCGGCGTCCTTTTTGCTCGCCACGATGATATCGGCGAGCTTGCTGAGCGGCACGGCGACGTCGGTGTTCACTGCTCCGGTACTGGCTTAACGGGTTGCTCTTTTTTTTCCTTGTTTTCTAGAGAGTATTGGAAAGCTTACACATCTTTCCCCCGTCCTTGCGGAGCGCCAAAAGCGAATACAACGACTCCTTCCGGGCGGACCACAGGAGGGCCTGTTCTCGGTCGTCGCGCGCGAACTCAAAGCCCTCGGCGCGGCGGGCCTCCGTGATCTGGCGGACTCGCCCGATGGTCTCCGCGAGGGTGGCGTTCGATCCGCCGAACTTGAAGAAGAGCGTGGGCTTCTCCGGCCAGACGCGGGGCCGGGTCATCCCGCCCTCGTTCACGATGCGCATCTGCGTCTCGTCCATCAGCTCCAGGGCCGCCACGGGGACGCCGGTCCGGATCACCGCCGTGGCGGCCGGGACGGCATTGTGGATGGTCGGGAACGGCACGACGGCGACAGAATAGCGCTTCGGGAGCACGGCGAGCTTCGGGGTGGCCTCGGTGACGATGCCCAGGGTGCCTTCGGAGCCGACGAAGAGCCCGTTTACTTGCTAACGGTTGGGCTAGGCTTGGCGGAATCAAGCATTCAGGAATGGGTCGCGAGGGGAGCAAATATGGGATTGAGGATTACCTCGAGACCAAGACCCTGGTCACGGGGAACATTCATGTCGTGCACCGAGCGGTGCTATGAATCGAGGAAGGGGAAGAGTTGACGATCATCTGTATGGCCTTTATGGGGAACCTTGACGCTGGTACTAGGAGGGTGTTATGGGTGTGCTTGCCCCTTGACGCAGAGGTTGAGATCAATTTGGTCGCATCACTATAGCATACTCTGGTGGCTGTGGCGGAAAGGGATGTAGGGGTAGAGGGGTCCCCTCTGAGAAACCGGCAACCTATGAGGATGATTGAATCTCAAAGCCTTTTAGTAGGTAGGTATGAATAAATGCCATTGCCAGTGAAAAGCTAGGAATGTACAACGTTTCTGAACGCATAGGACCTAGTCGATAGATCACATCGACGTAATACACGATACTTTCTCAATGTAGCACATCTTCAGCACATCCTCTGCGGTATCTGTGTTTTCTGCACCTTCTCCATGGGGCTTGACATGTAGGGACCGACGAAGGGTTTAGTCCTGGCAGCTGGCAAGAGACTAGACTCGACTTGGTTGCCACGCAAACGGGGCCCGGTGATAGGGAACGGATAGATATTCAGAGACAGACAACGACGCAGGCAATCGCGAGAAGGTTTCGGTTAATCTTTAGTCAGGACTTGCGGAGGCTCCGGCTGCCCTCTGCAATAACATCCAGCTGGGTTATCTGCTCCAATCCCGGTTGTGGGGTGGCTAGCTCTTGGCCAGGTGGGCCTTATCATGGACTGTGAACCAGGCCCCGCGGGGCAAGCTCATCTATAAGAGACGTCGGACACTTCCCACTACTTCCGTTGATGGACTGTAGAGTCATCAATTCGGAATATCCGAGCATTGACTATTTCGTCCTGACCAGAGCTCATCTATCTTTCAAAAGATATCTCGACCATGGCCGAGAAGAAAATCAGGACTCCAGATGAGATTGAATCATTTGATCCTGCGGCCGCCAACGAAGCGCTGCAGGAAGGCAGTGTGCTCAAACACGTGAGCAGTACCCATGATGCCGTTTTTGGTGAAGTGACTGAGGGTGGACCCCATTATCGTAGCGTGAGTTCCGTCAAGAAAAGACCTCCTGAAGCCTATTCATTGAACTAAACGTGGTTAGGTGGGATGGCTTGGAACCGTTGCCTTGATGCTGAAAACCCAGATTGGCCTAGGGGTTCTCTCCATCCCCGCAGTATTCGACACACTCGGCATTGTCCCGGGAGCCATAATCCTCTGTGTGGTCGCTGGAATCGCTACCTGGACCAGCTATGTAGTGGGTGTTTTTAAGCTCAACCATCGCGAGGTCTACGGGATGGACGACGCATGCGGCTGGTTGTTTGGGCCGGTTGGCCGCGAAGTCTTTGCTGTTGCATTCTGCCTATGTAAGGTCATTCATCGTCTGGCGGACCAGCTGGTTGAGGGCTGACTTTGACCAAGATTGGATTTTCGTTGCTGGATCTGGAATCCTCGGCGTCAACATAGGTTTGAACGCGGTTTCCTCCCATGGAGCCTGCACCGCGATCTTTGTCGTGGTCGCTACTATTGCTGGTTTCTTATTAGCCAGCATTCGCACTCTGGACAAGATTAGTTGGTTAGCATGGCTAGGATTGGCCTGCATTCTCGTCGCAGGTGAGTCGAAATCGAAGTTTACCCCTGGGACTCGCACCATATACTGACCGTTGCTTGAGTTCTTCTTGTGACCATCAGCGTCGGCATTCAGGACCGGCCTTCTTTGGCGCCCCAGGTTGGCCCTCGGACCTCGGACTTCAGAGTGACCAACTCGCCCTCATTTACTGATGGGGTATCGGCCGTCTCCTCCCTGATTTTCGCCTGCTCTGCCACGCCGGCCTATTTTCAACTCGCCGCCGAGATGCGTGACCCCCGCTTTTTCACTCGCGCACTGGTTGTCAGTCAGACCTGCTCCACCGTTCTCTATCTGGTGGTTGGGATAGCGGGGTACTAAATATCCTATGGGATCGCGTTGCCAGGTCTCCTGGCTTCCACCACCATCGTGCTACATGTGAGTCGGATCCGCGCCGTTGCTCAGACTCGTGCCACTAACAGAAACCGTAGCTACCAAGCAAGTACATCTTCGTTCGTCTCCTTCGTGGTTCGAGGCACCTAACCTCGAACTCCGTGGTTCACTGGTGTATTTGGCTCGCGTGTACCCTGGGAGCGTCCATCATTGCGTACCTGATTGCCAGCGGCATTCCATTCTTTAAAGATCTCGTCTCGCTCATCGGTGCACTGCTGGGGATCTTCCTCGCGTACCAGCCGACGGGATGTATGTGGTTCTACGACAATTGGCACACGCGCAGCCGCAGCTGGAGATGGATGCTCTTGGCCACCTGGAGTGTGTTGATCGTCGTGGTCGGCTGTTTCATGACCGTGGCCGGCACCTACGGGTCGATCGTCAGCATCGTTGACCCCCTGAGAGCGGACGGCGGCACGAAACCTTGGACTTGCGCGGATAATTCCAACTCCTGATTCTTCTCTGATAAGGATGAATCAACCAATCAGGCTGCTCGCGTATCAAAGTGGTGGAGGGATATGTAGGATCGTCCCTTTGCTATCCGGGCCACACGGATAGAGCTGCATTTGTCCATACATGGACTCGGTCGAGTCTTTTTCGCGTTTGTTTGGCTCCTTGCTCTTCCAATCAGCCCAGTTACTTAGTCCTTCGCACTCCGAGTCGTCCGTGAAGTGGTTTGCTCATGAGCAGCGGTAATAGGTGTCACGGCCGCTTCTTTGCAGCTAGAGTAGAGTGCGCCAGGGTGTGTCGGGACGGCCAAGCAGTAACCCGATAAATCACTCAATCATCGCTCTGACAGCTGAGACCCTGGAGCATGGGTCGAGCACGCTGGAATGCACTTAGGTAGTCTCAATTGATTAGATTTCGATGGTTCTCATGAGCTTTATGGTAGCGCGTCTGGACTACCATTCAGAACACAAACTACCTATCTGCGGGCAGTGTCGTCACCTATATGGAAACTTTCCTGCATGTCTATTTATATGGAGGTCTCTGCTTCTCCTAACTATGTAGCTGCAAGTAATACTAGATCAAGAGAAGAAAATAACGCTTAACAGGGGATCACAATAAAGCTCCTGTGTATGGTATCATGAAGGGGGGTTTTTTCATATTTTTTTTTCGTCGACCCGGGAAACTGCGCTGTTCGAGAAGCCTCTTTGCCTCAGTTTCTTTGAAAACAAAAAAGGGCGGGGATTGACTAAGCCGGTTTCCAGGCCTTGACTCCCTACGCCACTATATATATATCACGTTTTCCGGACCGGCCAGGCCGAAGCTTGATGCTTCAGACATTATCGCTCATTATGCACGTCCGATTAGTTAAGAGATTCTTAGAATGTTCCACATTTCACCTGGTCTGCATTTATTCTGTATCGCTGTGGCAATCTGTTGTTAAAAGAATAGGTATCTCGTGACCCAGAAACATTTGACGTTTTCTAAAGTTTACCTTTTCTTCCAGAAGCAAAGAAGAGAACAAACAACCTGATTACACCAATCCCCATTAGCGGCTGAGTTGTAATTTGTCGAGGTAAAGTCCAGTACAGTTCTTGCTACTTTGTGATTGGGGAAAAGGAACATGCAAGTGGGATGAACAGCTCCCTATTATATTAGTTCGGCCTTTCTAGACTCATGTATCGCCACAGCAGAGCTCAATTTGCACCAGTCTCAGTAATTCTGAAAACCCTAATCCTCCTATATGCTATGTGTGTGTGGTGCCAGGCCGGAAGGGATGGTCGGTGACTGAAGTGCCCGAGAAATCGGCATGCCGAGCGGATTTACACCGGTGTCCCGTCTGGGCCCGGAGACCCTGCGTGATTAATCTTTGACTAAGGATTTCGTAAATCCGTCTCTCGGGATGAGCAATCACGGCCGGAGACGGCAGATTGGCTAGGTGTCATGTCCAGGATCCACTCTTGTACGGGGCGTCCCGCGCGGTTGAGATTGTTAAGGCTTGATTCAGCAAATGGTCAGTCTTATTCAGCGTGCAGGATGACATTTGGGAGGTGGTGCCTGCAGATGAGTTTGATAAGGTGCTTCGTGCATGTTAGGCACGAGGTTGGTCTTGGGGTTCGTGTATAAAGAGACAGACAGATCTTGACATCTGATCATGGTGTGCGTCTATCATCACCTCCATCGACCGCCAGGATGCTTCTTCCCTCTCTTGCTCTTGCGGCCTTCTCGCTAGGTGCCGCGGCCAAAGGTCACGCTGGCTCGCCCGCTCACTATGATTTTGTCATTGTCGGTGGTGGCACCAGTGGCTTGGTGGTGGCCAACCGCCTTTCGGAGATGAGCAATGTCACGGTGGCGGTCATCGAAGCCGGCGAGTCCGCCTTGAACAACTTCAATGTGTCGAATGTTATGGGCTACAGCACCGCATTCGGAACCCAGGTCGACTGGGCCTACCAGACGGAGAACCAAACCTACGCAGGAGGCCTGCAGCAGACCATCCGTGCTGGAAAGGCTCTTGGGGGAACCAGCACAATCAATGGTGGGTTTTATCTCCTTCAGCTCTGACACAAGTCAAGAAGAACAGGAACAAGGTTGTGTACTGACCAACTCCCTCGCCTAGGAATGTCCTATACTCGGGCCCAGGACGTGCAGATCGATCTCTGGGAAAAGTTCGGAAACAAGGGTTGGAACTGGGAGACCCTGTTGCAATACTACAAGAAGTCGGAGGGCTTCCAGGTGCCCACCAAAGACCAGATTGCCCATGGAGCCAGTTACAACGCCAGCTATCATGGCCTGCACGGCCCGCTGAAGGTCGGCTGGCCCACCTCCATGACCAACAGCAGCGTCTTCCCCGTCCTGGAACAGACCTTTGCGAAGCTGGGCGTTGAGTACAACTCAGACTCGGAAGGAGGCCAGATGGTCGGATTCACTGTCCACCCTGACACCCTGGACCGGGAGATGAACGTCCGCGAAGACGCAGCCCGCGCCTACTACTGGCCCTACGAAGCCCGCTCGAACCTGAAGATCATCTCCAACACGCGCGCGAACAAGGTTATCTGGGCCAACCACACCCAAGGCGAGGAGGCCGTTGCCGTGGGCGTCGAGATCACCAATGAATACGGCACGCAAACGATCTACGCCAACAAGGAGGTCATCCTGTCAGCCGGTGCGCTGCGCTCGCCCGCCATTCTCGAGCTGTCGGGCGTGGGCAACCCGGCCCTTCTCAGCAAGCACAACATCCCCGTCAAGGTCAACCTGACTACCGTCGGCGAGAACCTGCAGGATCAGACCAACAACGCCCTCACCTGGGACGGTGTCGACACGCTGACCGGCCTGGCCACCTTCTCCCTTCTGCCCTCGGTGAACCAGCTCTACGGCGAGGACAACGCCACGGCCCTGGCCACTTACGTCAAGTCCCAGCTCGCCAGCTACGCCCAGACCGTTGCCAACGCCTCGCACGGGGCCGTCCAGGCCGCCAACCTCCTGGCGGCGTTCGAGCACCAGTACGACCTGATCTTCGAGGACCAGGTGCCCTACACGGAGGTCGTCTTCTCCCCCAGCGGGCAGTCGTTCGCCATCGAGTACTGGCCCCTGCTCCCGTTCTCCCGCGGCAGCGTTCACATCCAGTCCGCGAACGCCTCCGACCTCCCGGCCATCAATCCCAACTACTTCATGTTTGCCCAGGACGCCGAGGCGCAGATCACGGTGGCGCAGTACATCCGCAAGGCGCTGGGGACGGCTCCGCTGAGCGGGCTGGTGGGCGAGGAGGTCTCCCCAGGCCTCGAGGTGCTTCCGGCCAATGCATCCAGTGCTACGTGGACCAAGTGGATTGAGTCAACCTGTAAGCTTTCCTTCCTCTTTCCTCCCCTGCCTCTTTGGAATAGCGATCAGCATAACCTGCAGCATCACCGCTAACTTTACTATGAAATCAGACCGAACCAACTACCACCCCGTCGGCACGAACAGCATGCTGCCCCGCGAGAAGGGTGGCGTCGTCAGCCCCGAGCTCAAGGTCTACGGCACCCGCAACCTCCGCGTGGTCGATGCCTCTGTCCTCCCCTTCCAGCTCTGCGGGCACTTGACTAGCACCCTGTATGCTGTTGCTGAGAGGGCTTCCGATCTCATCAAGGCAAGCTACTAGACTGAGAAGGTGCGCAGTGCGTGGCCGAGATCGCCAAATCATTTTGAAGCACTCGAAACTGCAAGATGTGTGAAGCAAGAAATTGCAGTCCCCGTTTGTGTTGATACAGGTCGAAGCATCGGACAAATGTACAAATAGATAGAGAGGAGGGTTGGTTGCCTTTGACCTGCCGGAAAAAAAAGCATTGCAGATAGATAGATAGTCCTTCTTTTTCTTTCGAGCTTCAATTCTTTTAAGATTTCAATATTTAAATCATTCTCGTCCCAATTCATGTGCTATCTCGAGTTTTGTGGTAGGGTGGATAGAAATTCTGGGTGCGTGGCCTGTGAACAGTGTTTGGGATCCCTACACCGATGCTTCCTCTACACTTCGCCTTGACGACAACACAGATTCCCGCTAAAAAGAAGAAGATGGATAGGGGAATCATCTAAAAAATGCGACTCTCATCTCTACTCGCTAGAAGGGATTTTCTCATCAGACTTTGGGTGGTTCCGAGTAGTACTCACCCCCGAGACAGAATCTGACTAACGGTGGCCAGGACTGATGAGAAAGAAACCCGCCCGGACCGAGCTTGATAATCCAAGTCGAGAGTCAAAAAGCTTGAACGAGGATTTAATACCGCCGCTGTGATGTATTGATGTCATGACCGCCCACCGACGAATACAATTGACTGGTGCGCCGGCGAGAGTGAGTTTCGGCAACGTCATGCGGATATACGCCCGGCTTTACGGATATGGTATCAAAACTCAACAAGACTTTATAACACGGATGTCTGCTGCGAACTTGCAGACCAGAGTTAATGTCTAAATGACCTAGACTGAAAATCGCCATGATCGAAACAATCCGCGATACTGGCTTTGGCAAGCTGGTGCGTCTGTTCAGCGCCGGCCGCCTCCTGCGCTTCCCCGAGGAAGCAGATTCGTCCCTCTGGACCACCTACGTCAAAGCCCCGGAGGAGACCAAACCCGAGCAGTCGGAAATATCGGGCTCGGACCATGATAGCTACGAAGAAGATCTCGAAGCCTATGGGTTGTATACGGTGATGTCGCAGGCGTCTCGGGTGGGCAGAAGGACGTCCACCGCCACCTCCGCCCCTGCATTCCCCTCATCGGCCCAGGGCGGCAACCCTACCATCATCACTTGGGGACCGGATGACCCCGAGGTAGGTAGCCTTCACACACCAAGCTTGCCCCTTTGTATGTAATCACCTCCTGACCGATAAACAGAACCCCCAAAACTGGAGCATCCCCAAAAAGTTCTTCGTGAGCTCCCAGATCTGGCTCCTCACCTTCGCCATCTACATCGGCTCCGCCATCTACTCGCCAGGGATCCCCTCAGCGGCGCAGCACTTCGGCATCAGCAGCGTGGCCGCGACGCTGGGGCTCACGCTCTTCGTGCTGGGGTATGGGGTGGGCCCGATGCTGCTGTCCCCACTGTCCGAGCTCCCGGCCGTGGGCCGCAGCCCCACCTACGTGCTGACGCTGGTGGTCTTCGTCTTCTTCAACTTCGGGGTGATCTACGCCCGCAACCTGGGCATGTTCCTCGCCTTCCGATTCCTGACGGGATTTTTTGGGTCGCCCGCGCTCGCCACGGGCGGCGCCTCCATGGGCGATATCTGGAGCCCGCGGGCCCGCGACTACATGATCGCCGTGTGGGGGTGTTTCGCCATCGCGGCCCCGGTCTTAGGGCCCTTAGTCGGCGGGTTTGCGGCCACCGCGAAGGGGTGGACCTGGACAATCTGGCCGCTGCTGTGGGTGTCCGGGTTTACTTTGGTGGTGCTGTTCGTGGGCCTGCCAGAGACGTATGCGCCGAATATCCTGTATCGGCGGGCAGCCCGTGTGCGCAAAATTACCGGGGATGCGAATTGTGTGTCGGAGTCGGAGCTGGAGTTGCGGAGTGTGAGTAAGAAGGTGTGTTTCTCCCCTTTGAGGTCAATAAGAGTCGCATCAGGTTGCTATGCTATCACCCCCCAAAAACAACATCTCTAAACCCCAGCCGAAACAGGACCTCCTCTTCGAAGCCCTAATCCGCCCCTTCCAACTCAGCTTCCTCGAGCCCATCGTCTTCCTCCTCAACCTCTACATTTCTCTGATCTACGGAATCCTCTACATCTGGTTCGAGGCCTTCCCCATCATTTTTGAAGACCTGCACGGCTTCAACGCCGGCCAAAACGGCCTCGCCTTCCTAGGCATCCTGGTAGGCACAATCTGCCTCGCGATCCCGGGCTACTTCTACTGGAAATCCCACTACCAGATCCGCTACCTCGACCGCAACGGCAACCTCCCGCCCGAAGCCCAGCTGCCCTCCGCCTGCGTCGGCGCCGTCTGTCTGGCCATCTCGCTGTTCTGGTTCGGCTGGACCGGCAATTTCGCGAGTGTGCACTGGATCGTGCCCATTTTGGCGTCGGGGCTGTTCTCAGTCGGCGGGTGTCTGATCTTCAACAGCATCTTCACGTACGAGGCGCACGCGTACCCCAAGTATGCGGCGTCGGTGCTGGCGGGCAATGACTTTATGCGGTCGAGTTTCGGGGCGGCGTTTCCGCTGTTCGCGACGGCCATGTTTCGGAATTTGGGGGTGGGGTGGGCGTGTACGCTGCTGGGGTGTTTGGCCGTGTTGTTTGTGCCGTATCCGTTTGTGCTGATGAGGTTTGGAAGAAGATTGAGGTTGGCGAGTCGGTTTGCAAGGCATGATATTTGAGGTTTTTTAAAAGGGGGGGCAGTTGGATTGAGTTTGGGGTGGTGGGTTTGTATAGACGTTTTTCGGTCGTTGGAGTTGTTGGGTTAAGTTAATGGTAGCAAGCAATGGGTCACGTTACTGGCTGCAGGCAGGGGTGTAGAGATACAGATCTCTCAGAGGGATAAAATTCGTACCTCTCCCTCCCTTATTTATATACGGATGACTGAATGTGGAGGAATATTCATGACGATGATTGCGAGTTGCTATCGGCCCCCTAATGCCCACTTTCGCTATCCAGTTTGATGAGGTGGCATGCTCGCCGCTCCTGCTGAATGCTTGGAGTGTATAGGTGATTTCGGTACCGTCGGGCGAGACGGACAGGTCCCGAGGGATTTGGAGGACGGCTAACGCCTCCAAAGTTACTTTAGACTTGTTCTGTAAATTGGTCACCGCTGAAACCTCGAGTGAGTGCATGTAATGAGTGAGTCACGGTGGTGGGGGAGGTCCTAGGCATAAATAAGACGCAGGTGGTCCGAGCGATGGAATTTCGCTGCTTGGGTCCTTGGAAATTGAATATCGCTAACTACAATAGTTCTATCGACCGCAGCACTAGTGCTTATTTCCCATAGACTAATGGTTAAGCATCAAGGATTATGAGCTCGCCATACGCTAGGCTTGTTGCTACCTGATAGCGCGGCCCTAACTGCCTGCCAGTTCTATGTTACCATGGTAAGGTATGAGAAGCCTGCGAAGCTGCTTACATGAGGTAATCAACAGCTTGAGAAGCATAAGACACGGAAATACGTCCAGAATTCAATATGGCCCTATATGATTTGCATCTACTGTATACCAGTGGCTTCGGGGAGTGATAGCATGTGCTCGGCTCGATTTCAAGCTCATTGTGTGCAGGTAGATCTAGATTAGTATTCCAAGCAAGGTATCTAAGACTCAATGTAAGATTTTGTGTCTCCTTTTGATTGCAAATGTTAGGAACGATGCCTTTGAAGAGATCAAGCACATACCTAGGGCAAGAAGCAATCACATCCCACCGCCCGGCAGAATTCTGCAAGTGGAATAGTCTTGATGCCCCTTGGCTCAGGCCGCACTTGCTCCCTTATCATATCGCCTTACGTGATCGCTTATCACTACTACTCCCTCTGTATACAAACGAACCGTCACTGCTACGTTACCTCCGCCTCTTCTCCACTGTACGCGTCTCCGTTGAGAGAAGAAGAGTGGAAGAAGCTCCCACCTCAATGCCTGAGCTCCACTGAATGCCACGCGATGGACTCCAATAGCTCGAACTCTCGCGTCTCGGTGGCCTGTGAGACCTGCCGCAGACGGAAGCGCAAGGTAAAGCACCTAATCGGCCTCCGTACCAACAAAATCCCCTCTCGGTGAATGAGTCACAAGTGACCAGTCGCATCAGGCTGACTGGCAAGCTCTTACTAGTGTGATGGGATGCGCCCCGCTTGCTCCCTGTGTATAGCCAAGCGCGCAGCTTGCCAGTACAATGCCGAGAAGCGCAATAGGTCCGCACTCCCCTTCAACAGTCTCCGGCCCCTAATTTAACAAGTCTTTGAACCATGACAGGCGCAGGTTTGATGCAGACTACGTGAGGGGCCTAGAAGATCAGATCGCAATGCTCAATGATGCGCTGCACCGATCCCAACCCGTCGAGGCCGTCTCGTTCACTGAGGCTGTTCCACTCGAACGAAACGAGGCCTGTGCGAATGTCGACGACGATGCTGCAAGTCATGCTGCTGTTACTTCTGCGATGCCGGACAGCATGGCCACTGCGATTGAAGACGTCAGCGCCCTAATCTGGCGTATGAGTATCGAAAGCAATGGAGAGGAAGCTTTTATTGGGCCGTCAGGTAATTTCTGTTTCCCTGTCGCCCACCGGGAGGATATGGGCACGGGTGGACAGAAGGATACGCCTCCTACGAGCCTTACTAGCTCAGGTCCTAAAGAAGAATCCTTCGGCTCTGGCCGGACGGACATACAAGATACTAAAAGTTACCTACTCGATTTGTTCACCCAATACGTCAACCCCATTCAGCAATTCGTCGACACTGAAACCCTGGAGGAGCTGCACGGCAGTCACCTAAATGCAGACCTCACACTAATCAAGACCGCTGCCTTAGCAGCTGGCGCACTTCATGCGGATGACGCCAAGAGCAGGGCGGTTGGCGAGGAGGCTGCAGCCGTGGTTGATGCCATGGTCATGCAGTACTGTCGAGAATCGCCGAGTGTGTCTACCGTACAGGCTTTATCTATCATGTGCTGGCGGGAGCTAGGAATGGAGGAACATAACATGGCATGGATGTACAACTGTGAGCGCTCTTTAGTTGATACCTCGCGGGGCTGTCGCGTACCAGGCTTACAAACTACGACCTGAAAAGCAATGTGTGCGAGCATGGCGCTACACTTAGGCCTACCAGTGAGCATGACGCAAGAGATTGTGGTATCCAATTCCGAGCCCGTCAGTGTACTCCAAGAGCCGGATACTCATCACATCCGGCTGAGAGCGCTCTGGTCGTCAGTGTTCATGGATCGGTATGTGAGAGGCAAGCCTGCGATAGAAAGTTTTCCAAACTGATGCCACCGAAACAGAATCGCGACATCTCTTTTGGGACGCAATTGCATGCTCCCATGGAGGCGGATCAAGACCCAGTCCTTCATTAGCACCGTTGGTTCCGCTCCTTCTCTAGACGAGCTAGCCTTTGACCATCAATGTCGCCTGTGGTTTATTCATGATCAATATATGGATAGAATGTACGTTTTCGGTCTAGTGCCAGGATGAGCTTAGAATCTTCACTAACGTTCCGCTGAACCTCTAGCTACTCGTTCGAATTCACAAGCCTGAGCAGCGCCGAGAAGTCGCGTATCCTACTTGATGCGCGGGAGAAGCTGTACGCTTTTCAACGGCAGATAGACGCTCGAATGCGGCTGGGCCGGAGCCAGGTAGTCCTGCCCTCCATGATCTACCTCCACATCTCGTACCACATGTCGCACATCCTCATCCACCGACCGTATCTTAAAGAAGCCACCCAGCGAAGCAGCATGTACCAGCTATGCGTTCGCGCCATGTCCACAGCCGCGGCGTCGATCGTGCGACTCCTCCGCGAGTACCGGAAGGTCGCGCCGCTCGACCACATGCCCCCATTCGTGGTTCACAGTGTGCTCACAGCCGCCGTAACGCACCTCTGCAATGCGACCTCGACGCATCAAGGCCTCCGAAGCGCGTCGATTGCGCAGTTTCGGGTATGTTTCCAGGCCCTGTGGGCCATGCAGCGGCGGTGGATCAAAGCGAGGCGCGCGATTCGTCTCTTGCGGGAGTTAGCGCGCCGATGGCAGGTCATGGCGGCCTTGCCCTTGAAGCACGGCTTTCCTGCCGTGTCTGACTCGAGAGGGGAGGGTTCAGAAGAGGAGCAGCTTGAGTCAGAATGGCTGCCCATGGAGGAGATTCATGAGGAGGGGGACACTGCTCTATTTGAAAGTGAAGAAACAAGGACCGGCAGCATTTTTCCGGACATCCTCCATGAGGCCGGCCTCGACTTTTTGGACATGACAGACTACTAGCAGAATTCTTTCGGTGAAGCAGCATAGCATTCTTTCTCGATTGGACCTCAGTGTTCAACTCTTTGCAATAAAATATATCCGCCTTGATGCGTTTCTATCATATAACCTTTATCTCCGACGATGATGATTATTTAAGTCAGGCATACCTTCACTTCTCAGCCTGCTCCAAGACATTGAGGGGTCCAAGCCTGGAATTGAAGAGCATATCCGCCTACTGAATGGTTTACATCTATTCTCTCGCAGGTACTTAGTCGTATTTATGGGGCCAAGAAGTCCATTTAACACATCAGCTGCAAGACCGAAGTAGTCTGACAATTCGCCGAGATGCGGGCGGGGTAAAAGCGGCGGAAGAATAAATTCCGCCTCGATAACTTCCCCAAGATAACGTGAATCTGATAACTATCCGACTGCGACGGTGCAACTGTCACAATCATTGATTAAATAATGTTATCGCGGTCACTCCTCCGATTGCGCTGCGTGATTCTTATACGCGAGCATACTTAATTGATTCAGCGCGGAAGGCTTCAAGTCCCCCCTGCTCTACCCAAACATCCAGAAATCCAGCACCACAACAATCTCACAATGCGCGCCCCTGCCACCTCAACAGTCCGCGTCGCCGTTACCCAAGCCGAGCCAGTGTGGCTGGATCTCGACGCAACAGTCACGAAGACATGTACACTTATTGCTGAAGCTGCCAAAAACGGCGCACAGTTGATCAGCTTCCCCGAATGCTGGATCCCGGGATATCCTGCTTGGATTTGGTAAGACAAGCCCTTCGCCCTGCCCTCCCCAAGCCCTGCAAACAAATTGGCACTCAACCTGACACAAGCACTCCTGCGAATCTGCAAAGGTCCCGCCCCGTCGACATGAACCTTTCATCTCTGTACATTCAAAACTCCTTGAAGGTCGACTCCCCGCAGATGGCGACGATCCAGCGCTGCGCCGCGGAGCACAAGATTGCCGTGGTGCTGGGTTTCTCGGAGCACATCCACCACTCCTTGTACATCGCGCAGGCGATCATCGACTCGGACGGAAAGATTCTGGCCCTGCGCAAAAAGATCAAGGCCACCCACATGGAACGGACCATTTTCGGCGACTCGTTCGGCGACTGCCTCAACAGCGTGGTCGACACCACCACCGCCGGGCGCGTGGGCGCCCTCTCGTGCTGGGAGCACATCCAGCCCCTCCTCAAGTACCATACGTACTCGCAGCGCGAGCAGATCCACGTCGCCGCCTGGCCGCCGCTGTTCGACGCGGATGATAAAGAGGAGTGTTTGTACTCCATGTCGCGCGAGGGTATTTCTCCTTCCCCCTCCTCCCCCCATCCGCCCCTCTCCATTCTCATCCGTATTGATTCTCCCTGGATCGGGTTTTGAGTAGTCAACAAGCTCGCATGATTAACACTCCAAACCAAATGCAGGAACCATCGCTCTCGCCCGCACCTACGCCATCGAATCCCAGTCCTACGTGCTGCACACCACCGCCGTCCTCAGCCAGGCCGGGATCGACAAGATGCAGACCGCCACGGGGAGCATCATGAGTACCCCCGGAGGCGGCAGCTCGGCGATCTTCGGGCCCGATGGCCGGCTGCTGTCGGCGCCCATCCCCAGCACGGAGGAGGGGATCATCTACGCGGATTTGGACCTGGATGGGCCCATTCACCGGACGAGGGCCTTTGTTGATGTTTGCGGGCATTACAGTCGGCCGGACTTGCTGTGGTTGGGGGTGGGGCCGCGGGATGGGCGTCATGTAAGGGAGTAGCGGCAGACCTTGATGGGGTGGTGAAGAACGGTGGTCAAGATCATGTACTGTACAGTCTTGCTTTCATTCTCCAGGCTTTGCATGTATCCTGTATAGATTCCTTCTTCCGCTCTGAAACCTTTGCTGAGACTGAATGGGAGAATGCGATGGATGCACATCTTATTTGACTTGGTAATGACACGCAAAGCCTTCTTAACTTGACTTCTTAGCCCATGTATGAGGTATGTGACAAGTGCTAGATGAGTGGTCATCTTTGCAGCAATAACTACTGTATAATTCTCTCAAATTGGGCTGTCAAGATCGCGGAGACATGGTAAACTGATTCTATATTGAGTGTACTCATATTGGTCTCTATTTCCATCTCATAGGCAACCGAACCCTTATGAAATCCACACCAACATCAAGAAGTCAGAATGACCCAAACCTACCAAATCTCAAACCACAACATGCCCCCAAATCTTTCCCTTCCGAACCTACATCCACAACCCCGCCACCTCCAAAATCACCCCCACCAACTCCTCCGCCGCCGACATCTGCGGACTATGCCCCGTGTCCAGCTCCCGAGTTACCCACTCTACCCCCGTCGCTTCGACCATCGCCCGCTGCGCCTCATACGGCACCGCGTGGTCCCGCAGGGTATGGACATACGCGACCCGTCCGCGAAACGCTTCCGTCGCCCAGCTCGCCTGCGGGCACGGGCTCGCGAACGAGGTAAACCCCTGACTGAGGGAGGACCGGGCCGCCGCGGCCGCGAGGACGGGCTCGACATCGTAGAAGAGCGGGGGGATGGGATCGGCGCATTTGAGGAGGTTCTCTTCTTCCTAGAGCACAAACAAAAACATATTAGTTCACTAAGAGGTAAATCACAAACAGACATAGCTTTTGAGCCATTGGCAATGCCAGAGTACCCTGCTAGTGGGAATGAGGAAGGCTAAGGCGGGTGATATACATCAAACTGGATATGAGGCGGCAACTGCCCCCCAAACCCATCAATCACACTCGACCCATCCCCGCCGCGGGGCAGGATGCTGGCGATAAAGACCTGACCCAGCACAGCGGTGGACTTCCCCTCCACAGCGCGGTCGGCCGGACCGAGTCCCCGTGCGGCGGCGCTGGCTGGCATCCCGCTGTAGGAGTGGCTGATCAGGATGACGTCCTGCTGGGCTACGTCCAGTAGGGGCAGGAGCAGGCGGTGGCGGATGTAGTGGGCGTCGTCGGCGGCGGTGATGGGGTCGGTGGCGCCGATGCTGGGGAGAAGGCCGGTGAAGGTGCTGTGGCCGGCGGATTGGAGGAGGTGGAGGAGGTGGGCGTAGTGCGAGGGATTCTGGGAGGCACCCGGGATGAGGACAAAGATGGGTTTCTTGGGGGACATGGTTGGATTAGGGGATTTGGTGTGTACTGGGGAAGAGTTGAGTGATGAAAGGGAAGTGGTGAATGGGAAGAATCGAGTTGAGAGTGCGAGGAAGGGGGATTTATAACGCTGTTGTTCGTGATCGAGGCGATGCCCTAAGGTTGTCAGCCTAGTATGACTGACTTATTGATGACTGCGTAGTGCATGCACTATGTCTGTTAGATTAACGGGTAATGCCGCCCAGGCTTAACTCTGATTCGATTTCCCGCTTATGGTGGAGCATTGGTTCGACGATATGAGTGGCTGTCTTCATTTTAGCGTGGATTCTTGCTTCATCCCAGCTCTCTATACCTACTAAGGTAGTGCTCATGATCTTTCGCCTGGACTCAAATCAATGCTTCAAAAGTCAGATTAGTATCCTGGTGCACTCATGCTACTAGAATGAGCGAATAGCTGAGAGCGGTCTCTGTCGGCCCTTGTCCATCCTGCCTAGGTAGTCATATGTTACAATACAACGAGGCTGGTAAATTTAGATGAAGGAGGTGGAGTGGAGGTTTCTATGCTACGGTCGAGGACATGCCCAACTGTAGAGGCTAATCTTACAGCTATCAGCAAATGATAATGACTACTCGAAATTCAAAAGAGATCAATGGTTCTGTGGTTGCTAGAGGTATTCATCGTTGGGCTTGTTGAGCATTCAGAGGGAGTAACTAGGGCATCCCGTGCCACATGACCTCGGCTACAGAAGTATCGAGCATCGAGCATCATTCCCACCTCAAACAACCCAATCCACTTATCCATCCAGAAAACACCACATTAATGCTTCAGAGTGAGCACTCCCGGTCGCCACGGCTGAGTGTTGTAGTCGCCGCTGCTATTGGGGTCCTTGCCCTGATAGAGCAACTGGAGGTTACAAGGATCGACAGTCATCGTCTGATCCGGATTATTGCGCACCAAGTCGCCGTGACTGATGTCCTGGGTCCAGGTGGCACCACTGTTGGCCTTGCCCGCGAAGGGCTGGTTCTCGCTCGCCGCTTGGGGCGTCCACGCCCCGCCGAGACTACTGGCCGTGAAGGACCGGAAGTACCGACGGCCAGTCGAGCCGATCGCCTCGACGATCATCAGGTACTTGCTCTGGCCCTGGCCGCCCTGGACGGTGTACACCTGGACCGCCTCGAAGATATCATTCCGGGCGCCACTGAGCACCACCTCGTACTGCGTGCCGAAGTTACCAGGGAAGTTGCCGATGGGCATGCTGGCCCGGTAGATCTTGCCGTTGTCGCCGGCGAAGAAGAGATACATGTTCGTGGCGTCACCGATCACGGTCTGGTCGATGGCGCCCGTGCCGGAGCTTTCGCCGCTAGCCAGCTGGCCCGAGAATAGGGGGTACTCGGCCGACCAGCTGTTGACGTTGGTGGGGTCGGTGGAGGTGCGGTAGGTGAAAGTGCTGGACCCCCACTGGGTGGCGAGCACCCAGATGTTCTTGGGCTGGAAGTAGAACAGGGTAGGAGCCACGGCGCCGAAGCTCGTGGCAATTTGGTTGGCCTGAGCCATGTCCGCCCAATTGGAGAATGGGCTGAAGGTCATCGACCCGTAGCTGCCTTTAGAATCGGTGGTGGATGCATACACAATGTGCTTGCCATTCCAAACGACATCGGTGAAGTCCTTAAGGCTGGTCCAACCGGACTTGGGGGTTGCGAGAGCCCCGGTTGAGGTCCAGGAGTAGGTCGAAGGAAGAGGGCAGCTTGCGGAGGCAAAGGGAGCAGAGACGAGAAGGCAGATGCCAGACGACAGCAGACCAGCTTTGGCCTTGAGGAATTTCATTTTGTCGGAATCTCCTCTGCAGCAGAGAGAAAGATATAATGAGTTGGTAATGAAAGGCTTGGAGTAGAAAAGACAAGTCCTGGATAGAGGGCAGCACCACTGTTAAAATACGTTCGAATCTGGCTCTGGGCATTAGTAATTTGGCCTGAAAACGTCCTGGTTATGTCCTCGCTAGACAGGCCAGACGTTTCGGATAAAACAGTGTGCTTGATTTCTTTGATTGTCTAATTCTGATTCACCAGGACCAGGTATCCAGCATTTACCAGCTCATGCTGGCGCCTAAACTCCATCAGCCAAAATCAGCTGTCCACCGGACCATTGCCCTGATCAGAACGGGTTCTCAACATACCACCGCACCAAGATAGCCGTTGAATCGCACCGGCATAATGTGCTTCGGCATCGCTGAATAAACCAGCTGCCGAGGCATGCTACTTTCTGGCAAGTACATGCGAGTCTAGACGTGTGTCTGTGTGGGGTGCCAAGCCAATTGGTTCTAGGCTGATACACTGCCCCTATATGAAGGTTTCATGCCAAAACAATTTAAAGTTCGCCTTCAACTGGTTGGTGACCGCATTATTTGACACCTGCCACATGAAATTGAGCTGTATCTGTAATTGTATTCGCCAGCCCGGATGGAGCTTCACGAATGACCACATATCAGTGGTCTCTGGCTGGGCTTCTTAGGACTATGGAGTGCGGTAGATTCCTCATGAATCCCGCACCAAATACCGGTTGGAAATGAAAGGTCTCCGCAGAAAATGCTTGGCATCGGCTATTCCCGCATACAATCTGTTCAGAGCCAGGTTATTTCTGGAACCGAGGTAGTCCCTGGACCCTGATGGGCAACCATCGGCAGGCTATGTGGACAACCGTGCAACATCGGTCTCCACCCCTGTAGATTCAGATGGTCTTCATAATTCCGGTGAGCGAGCTTGGCGTTTCGGTCTAGCCAGCCTAAACGCCTACATTCACCCATTCAGGCTAATCAGAACTCGAAGTATCATTTCTCGCCTTCGAGCAATGAAGTAGATATCTAAATAAGGGAAACAATGCAATATCCGTTCTCAATTGGGATGCTCCACCGGCCAAGTGCCTAGGACGTGAGCATCAACTCAGAATCCTTGAGATGATACTTCGTTCTGTCTACAAATACTGCTCCAATCCCACGAGATGCTGCTTTTCCATTTCTCGTTCCATCAACATCATCTCCATTCATTCATTCATTAAGCTCAAGAACTATCATCCCTCCTTTCCAACATGGTTCAGATCAAAGCAGCTGCTCTGGCCGTTCTTTTTGCCAGCAATGTGCTCGCCAATCCCATCGAGCCCCGCCAGGCCTCAGTGAGCATCGATGCCAAATTCAAGGCGCACGGCAAGAAGTACCTGGGCACCATTGGCGACCAGTACACCCTGAACAAGAACGCAAAGACCCCGGTCATCATCAAGGCGGACTTTGGCCAGCTGACTCCGGAGAACAGCATGAAGTGGGATGCTACTGAGCGTGAGCACAGACCTTGCGAGAAATGAATGTGATTGTGATTCGATTCTGACCAGCAAATAGCCAGCCGGGGACAATTCTCCTTCTCGGGGTCGGATTACCTGGTATGTATCCTTCACCCAACCTGACACGTACACCCCGAGACTTACATCCTTCAGGTCAACTTCGCCCAGTCCAACGGAAAGCTGATCCGCGGCCACACTCTCGGTACGATTGACCCGGAGTACTACAATCCATACTTCAGAAACAAACTTAACTCGACCAGTCTGGCACTCACAGCTCCCATCCTGGGTGCAATCCATCTACGATAAGAGCACCCTAATTCAAGTCATGCAGAACCACATCACCACCGTGATGCAGCGCTACAAGGGCAAAGTCTACGCCTGGGTAAGCCATTCTCAAATCGCGGTCTTTCAAGTCGTGACGTTTTCTAACCAGTTCAAGGACGTTGTCAACGAGATCTTCAACGAGGATGGCTCCCTTCGCCAGAGCCACTTCTACAACGTCATCGGTGAGGACTATGTGCGCATCGCTTTCGAGACCGCTCGCGCGGTGGATCCCAACGCAAAGCTTTACATCAACGACTATAAGTAAGTCATTCTTGTCGATTGTCTTCTCATGCCTCGTGGTTTGGCCCTAGTTCTAATCCTGACGTAGCCTGGATTCTGCCTCGTACCCGAAATTGACCGGCCTAGTCAACCACGTCAAGAAGTGGGTCGCAGCTGGCGTCCCCATCGATGGAATCGGTAAGTCGCGGGGCATTGGAGCTACTGAAAATACTATCTAACGTGTTCTTCACAAAGGTTCCCAAACCCACTTGAGCGCTGGTGCCGGCGCTGCCGTCTCTGGATAAGTACCCCCTTTTCTTGACTCTGAATACAGCAAAACTGACAGTCCTTTACAGCTCTCAATGCTCTCGCCGGTGCAGGCACCAAGGAGGTCGCTATTACCGAGCTCGACATCGCTGGCGCTAGCTCCACCGACTACGTGAACGTAGGTTGGCCCTCGGGAAGTGACACGATTAACTTACTGACACAACCTAGGTCGTCAAGGCGTGTCTGAACCAGCCCAAGTGTGTCGGTATCACCGTGTGGGGAGTCGCTGACCCCGTAAGTGCTTATCTCCATTCGCAACCAGAGAATCTGTTAGCATACTAATACCACATTTACTTCTTTAGGACTCGTGGCGCTCCAGCTCCAGCCCTCTGCTCTTCGACAGCAACTATAACCCCAAGGCTGCTTATACCGCTATTGCGAACGCTCTCTAGTGGTCGTGTTCGTCATTGAAGCTGGTAGTCTAATCTAGGGGAGATCTTCGACTAGAATGTCATTGTGACTGCCGGATGAATGGCTGGGGGTTGTTCTTGTTTGACTGTCTTATTCTGTCTATTAATGTTGAGCATTGTTTTCGTTCCCATACATGATCGCCTAACCCGTATTCCTAAGGCTGGATCAGTAGAATCATGTTACCTGCCACAATCTTACATAATTCACCACACCATTAAGTCAAACAGTAATGTAAATCACTCACACTGTAAGTGCTTCATTGTGATGTCCTCTCCAGAGCTTTGCGGAGATTCTCACCCCACCCTATCAAGAAATTCCGCTTCTTATAGCCCTAACCTAACCACCGTAGTCTACCCTCCTGTCGTCTACCCAGACCAAATAGAAGCACGAAACATGCAGATAACACCCGCCTGTGGCTGCCCATATATGAAGTGGCTGGCGAAGAAACATCAAACCATGTCGGCATTTATTCAGGGTCCGCGGCACGTTCAGGAACAGGCCAATCACCGAGATCAAGTTACTCACCTTTCACTAGATCATCTTGGCACTAACAAGCGATCAGCCCTGACCGCAGCGCTAGTGCATCGGGGTAAATTAGCAACGGTAATTCCCAAGCGTCCGCAACTGCCGAAACGAAGCAGCTACGGGGGGGTCCCCACTTCAGCCTTGGGTGCCTTTAGTGCTGCTTGGCGTGCAGCTGGATTATCACTCCGTTTCCGACCTGGACTCTGCAGTTGGAGAGTGCAACAAGGGTCCTCATTTTTAATGAGCGATGAGCGGGGGCCTATTCGCCAATACCCCCTCCCTCAGAACTGAGTTCAAGCTTCTGCAGCCGAAGTCCCCCGCAAAAGAGTCGCAGAAGCTGGGCTATTCTGCCGGAATCCCCGTGGAGAATGACTTATTCAAGGGTTCTTCTGCCCGTTCCCCTGGTGGTCTTCACATGCCCTTGAAGTGTGAAATGAAAAGCCTCAACGTTGCGCTTCTTCATTTTATCCATTTTAGCCTTCAGAGGTGAGTCTTCGCCCTGCCTGCGTAGCGACCTAGACAGAGTCTATGTGACTGTGGTATCCTGATTAGTTTAGCCAAGCAATGTAATCTTCGAATTGGATTCAACAGAGGCTTCTACCTTGGCTATCATTGTCATGAAGGGGGGACCATACGTTACCAAAGAGCTCACGCCCATCACCAACTCACTGCTGTATATCTTTCTATGCTTTGAATGCCTTCTGTTGTAGACCACGTGCTTACTACTGTGAGCTGGACATGATACGTCGGATTTCTTGTCCTCCATATGTTGAGGGAGTTCCAGAAAATATGTATAACACCGTTAAGAGGAGCATGGACGTAGCAGACTTGACTGACAACGACCGGTTAGTGTCGCAGCTAAAATGTTGCTTATTCGTTGGAGCTTCGATTCAAACTACAAAAAGGAGGCATTGTGACTGTGACGATATTGTTGTTTTATTTCAGTCATCAAAACGTCTTTGCTTCAATCTTCCGATAATACTAGACCCATGGTGAATGTTGCTATTACTTACGCAGTGCTTGATGCGGTATTTAAGTACTCCGCATCCACTCTAGCCACAACCCGGGTTACTTGTGCTTCAGAGTTTTGCAACCATCCGTCACAAATCAAAAACAAAAAAAAAAAAAAAAACGACTTTGGATTATACCATGGAGAGCATAAGAGCCTCGAGAGATTACAGCATGAGAGGAAAGATTTCCCGTCTTAAATCAAGATGATCAGAAGTAGCAGGCACAAGAGAGTTTATCTTGTTAGGGCTAACAGAACCCACCCCGCATGAGCCGGAGTTTACTATGGATCCACCATGGAAAATATACGTAGGACCTCGCACCGAGCAGAGATATATCACGCCGGCACTGATGGCTGGCTACACTCCTTGACCTGTGTCATGATTAAGAACTACCAGTGGTATATGGAGAGACTGGATGATAGGAGTGAATGTCTCTGGAAACGCATCATCACGTGACCTTTTTTCTCATCGCCAATTTGCACAACCAACCTCCCCCAAAAGTTCTGACTCCCGAATCCAGTAACTCTATCGGGAATATCAACCGTATTAAAACATACGCAGCCGACCGAGTCGGCCTGGAATCTTTGTTACAACCTCTTCCGCAGGAGAGGGGACTCTTCACTTGCGACCCCAGCGGCCATGCAGACTCTGAGGCCATTCGCCTGGTGAAACCAATCCGGAGGGAGAACACCATCATGAGCCACCAGCTGCACCGCTACTTCCGCATGCCGTTGACTCTGCGCCAACCTACCCTTGCCGATACCAGTCTCGCCGAGCTCATGGCGCGCGGCTCTTCTCTGCCATCTATGACCGTCTTCTTCGATCATTCTGACCTGTTGGGTCTCTGCCTAGAGGGTGATGGGCGGCAAGAAAAAGATGGAATGCTGGAACGCGGACGGATTGGTGCGACAATCTTGATCAGGAGTCTATGGGAAAGGGCCTGGCGCCATCATAAGAGTGACAATTAATGATTTTGATGAGTAGGCTAGCCCACTACCACTCTATTTAACCCATAAGCGGAAGTCGGATATGCTTATTCGGCACGCTGAACGCGACGAGGAAAGTATATGTAAGCCCTAGAAGTTCCAAACTAGACGGTTAGCGCTTGTTTTGGAGGCCTCCCTAAGTGATAGTTCAGCTCAGTATGTCTATCCCTTCTACGTATCCCAAATAGGCGTGATGAGATCCCATCAAGTCATCGGAAGTACTGAAATGTGCGAAGCAGCTCAGTATCGAGGGTGCTCAGACACTTGGAGATGCTCATACTCTTTGAACATTGTTCAGCATTTTGATTTGTTTGTGTTCACATTTCTAGTAAGCCTCCAGAGCCACCCCCACTACCGCCGCTTCTTCTGCATCAAGAACCGCGTAACCTGCGATCCATCGGTCAAGTCCTTCGTCACGGGCTGGAGACTGTACCCGAACAGCCAGGGCAGCACCACAAACCGCAGCAGGTAGTAGCCCACGCCCAGCCCCAGGATCCCCAGAGCGACGACGGGACTCAGCCAGTACGGGATACTGGATTTGCTCGAGTTGGGCGGCACAAATGGCATGACGAGGAGGAACTGCACATCACCAATAGCGTTAGCCAAACCGTCCGTAATTAGGTGTGGGTGATAAAAGCCTGCGGAAGGAACGTACGACGTTCGCAGCGAGATAGAATCCAATCACTGGCCACGGCGCCGTGTAGGACGACGACCACCCTTCCGTCCGCGACAGGCGCATCTTCACCAGCCCCACCGTGATGGCCGTCAGCATCACACACATCGGGTAGGAGGAGAGCCCGACGACGAAGCTGAAGGCGTCCCCCGCGGGCGGGGCGCAGATGAACAGGACCGTCACCCCGAGGTGCACAATCAGCGCGGCGATCGGGGTCTTGAAGGGCCGGTTCTGCATAATGGTGTCCGGGAACGGGGTGATGCCGTCTTTGGCGAGTTCTTGGAGGAGGCGCGCTATATTTTGGGAACAGTCAGCTTGAGTGGGGATTTCGGGCATTCGGGGGTGGAAGATAAAGATCAAGACTTACGGACGACGAATGCAACTCCCAGTAGATGGCCGATAGCGGATAGGGCAACGAGCGCGGGGAGGGCTCGGGTGGCTGCCGTTTCGCCGAAGACGTTGCGGAACAGGCTGGCTGCTATTGTGACGCTGGCGGTGCGGAATTCCTCTTTGGGCACGCCGGCAAACTGTTGCAATGGGGGTTTGAAGTCAGACTTGACGGTCCCGAGCATGATAGCGACAGACAAATACTCACGTAGGCCACGTTGGCGAGGACATACAGCACGGTAATGATGCTCATGGCGCAGGGGAGAGCGATCCGGAGGGTGTGTTCGGGGTTCTTGACCTCGGACAGGACGGCATTCACGTTGTCGTAGCCCTGATAGGAGAAGATAGCGTCGAGGAGTGCCGTGCCGATATCGTACCCATTGTTCGAGGTGCCCTCGAAGGAGGTCTTCACGTCGAAGTTGTGGGGTTTGGGGATGCGGAGGTGCCCCGCCAGCGCGGCGAACCCCGTGCACACGATGAACAGCAGCGTGAAGAGCTTGACCATGCTCAGCACATCTTGCATCGCCCGGCCCACCCGGGGCGCCACCGTGTGCACCCCCACGGCGAAGGAGACCGCTGCGATGGCCAGCCCGCGCTCCTTCCAGGTCGTCGAATCCACCCCGGCCGCGGACAGGAGGTACTCTGAGGCGGTGATGGCGTTGCTGGCGGAGACCTGCAGGAACAGGCAGAAGAAAAGGTAGATGCACGTCTGCATGCGCTTGGGGGCGAAAGATCGCTCCAGATACACCTTAATGCCCCCGGAGCGAGGAATTCCGCTGCCGAATTCCAGCATGACCAGTGCTCCGCAGGCGGAGATGATTCCGGCAATTACCCAGAGCATCAGCGATAGCCCGACACTGCCAGAGAGTTTGAAGATGGTCGAGGGGGTAGAAAAGATTCTATCTTGAATTAGAGAGGACCCTGAGAGGAAGGAATGTTCTGGCCTCGGCAAATGGGTGGACTAACCCGGCACCGATGATTTTGTTGACAATCAGCGAGATAGCCCCAAGCACTCCGATCTTGCGATCCTGGAGCACATGATTCTCGTTGACTGTGAGTCGCTCCGCGGCCTTGAGACTGTCATCATCGGGATGCGACGAGTTCGTCTGGATTGTTGGCTTGGAAATTGTGTCGCTCCCCATTTTGACTCCGGCCCAAACATGCAGCTATAGTTTCCCGCTTGTGACGGAGCAGGTTATATACTTGTCAGATCAACTCTTAGTCCCGATCAGCAAATGACGTGATAGACGCCACGACCTGCAAGCTCGTGGAATCCTGTCGGCTTGACTCCGAAGGGAATTAAGCTGCCAAGAGGGCTAAGTCTTAGTGGATGAGTCCACCTGCAGCTGGGATGGCGTTATTCCCACCAACCCCACTCCACCCCCATCCGCAGCCCATATAAATGGCCGATGTGGGAGAGAGAGCTCCATTTCCAGGTCCGAAAACACCAATGGATGTCTAAACTATGACTACGACTTTTCAACCATTCGACGTGCCAGGCGGCCAGACCGTGCATGGAAATGCTTTTCCCTATGGACTGAAAATCCACCGCCCGGATGGAGCAGGCAGCAGTGACGTGCCAACTGTCGACGATGCCGTGCTGGCCATCACCTCCCTCGCTGAGTCCGGCCGCCTGTCCGAGCTGCTCCAGCGACATGGCGCCGTGCTCGTCCGTGGGGTCGGCCATCCTTCCGCGGAGACGTTTGCGCGACTCGTCAACGCCGCCGAACGAGCGCGTGGCTCCCATCCGTTCGAGCAGATTGGCCTCGCCGGGAAACGCACCCTGGTGGCTGAGAATGTGTGGACAGCCAACGAGGGACCGTCTGATCGTCGATTCTACCAGCACAATGAGGTACGCCGTTGTATCTAGTACTACACTCCCATCGAAAGAAGCCGAGTCGATGGCTGACAAAGTGTTGTATCCAGTACTCACGTTACACGCGTTTCCCCTCCAACATCCATTTCTACTGCCAGACAAAAGCCCCGCACGGTGGTGAAACCCCAATCGCGCACAGCGCCCTGGTCTACGAGAGGTTGCAGGATGCGGTGCCTGCCCTTCTGCACGAAGTCCACCAGCGGGGCCTGGCCATGAAGATGGTCTTCCGGGCCCCGGGTCACGAGGGACGGGGAAACGAGTTCAATTGGGCGGGCGAGCACAGCTTTGGACAGGAGTTCAAGTCGGGGGATGATCGCGACACGCAGAAGGCCAAGGTTGAAGCGCAGGTGCGCAGGCTCACTCCGACCTTTCGGTGGCTGCAGGACGATACGCTGGAGTTGACGCAGCATATTCCGGGTAGGCCTTTTCTCCAATACTTGAATGTGCGTGCGATACTGATTCTGCCTCAGGGATTCGACGTGCTCCTGCTAGCGGACGACCGGTTTGGTTTAACGGACTGGTCGGTCGGTATGGGATGACGCGCGATCTGGGCGCGTTGGAGCCACCGTATCTGGGGCGCGATGGGATGACATGTAGGATGGAGCCCCCTCCGGACACTCCGATTGAATGCTGACGAGTGGAGATAGATCTGCCGTGCGACTATGGCGATGGAACCGTCATCCCTGCAGAGTACTTGCAACGTTTGGAGGAGGTGGTGGATGGTCTCGAGATTGGTCTTTGTCTGGAAGAAGGGGATCTGTTGCTGGTGGATAATTTCCAGGTGTCGCACGGGCGCAAACCGTGGACGGGGGATCGCAGGATTTTGGTGAGCATGTGGGCGAACGATCAATTTCCGATTGAGGATTTTTGAAGGGATGGAAATGTTGAGGTGGTGGAGAGAGCACTGCAGGATCGTGGAAGATGCCGGATTGAAATGGCGCGCGCATGCATGCACGGGTGGAGCGATGGCGTGCTGCATCCCGGTCATCACCACATCTTAGCTCTCTACGTCGCCATAAGCACAGATAAGAATAGATAAGAACCCCCGCACTGATTCCAGCTGTGTTCAAACAAGTCAACACGCACGCGCCACATTCGCCATGACTGCCGTCGAGACTCTCGTCCAGCCTGATATTCAATATCATCCCGACTGGGACAAATACCAGGCCCGAACTGCCCGACGCAAGGCTACGGAAACCCTCCCCCAGACCGTACCCGACGACTTTCCCGCGGAACTGGTCTCCAACCTCGTCTGGGAAGGCAAGGATGTTGAGTCTCGCGATGACTGGGTGGTGCGTTTGACGGAGACCGAGCTGGATGAGATCGATGGTGCCCTGCAGAGTTTCAAGGGTAGGTTAGGGCATCAACGCCCAACCCTAACTAGCCCTAATTATCATCCATCGTATCTGATATCTGACCACCCCCAATCATTACAGCGCGCAATCTTCCCTGGGGAGTGATCGATCAATCCACGTTCCCCCTGCCGACGCTGCACGATCGCCTCCGCCAGCAATCGCGGGAACTGCACCTAGGCCGGGGATTCTTCGTCCTGCGCGGCCTGCGCATCGACCACTACTCACGGGAAGATAACATCATCATCTACGCCGGGGTATCAGCACACGTCGGCAACATCCGAGGACGGCAGGAGGACCAGCGCTTCTCCACCGGCACGTCACTCGTACTCTCGCATATCAAGGACATCACGCGCACCACCCCGACCGGCACCATCGGCGCGCCCTCCAACACAGCCGACAAGCAGGTCTTCCACACGGACGCCGGGGACATCGTCTCCCTGCTGTGCCTCCACCCAGCGGCATCTGGCGGCGAAAGCAAGATCGCCAGCAGTTGGCTGGTGTATAACATTCTCGCGCGCGAGCGGCCGGATCTGATCCACACCCTTTCGCAGGACTGGGTGGTAGATGGGTATGCAGCCGGCCCTGGACTTCACCGCTGTACCTAGAATATCAAAGTCAGAGGTTACTGACAAACACACAGCTTCAACAACCCCGCATCCCCCTACACCAAGCGACCCCTGCTCTACTTCCAACCCGCAACCGAATCCACCCCGGACCGCGTCCTCATCCAGTACGCCCGCCGCTACTTCACTGGGTTCCAGGCCCAGCCCCGCTCCGCGGACATCCCGCCGATCACCGAAGCGCAGGCCGAGGCCCTGGACGCCTTGCACTTCCTGGCCGAGCAACACAGCGCCGCGCTGGACTTCCAGAAGGGCGATGTGCAGTACATCAACAACCTGAGCATTTTCCACGCTCGGAACGGGTTCCGAGATGAGCCGGGGAAGGAGTACGTCGATCTTCACTTAACCCATTCAGTCGAATAAGAGGGGTGTTATGCTAACAGAGAGTCTTAGACGCCATTTGCTGCGATTGTGGCTGCGCGATCCGGAACACGCGTGGGAGACGCCCGAGCCGCTGCAGAAGCGATGGGATATCGTCTACAAGGATGTGCGGGTCGAGGAGCAGGTGTTTCCGCTGGATCCGCGGTTGCGGAAGACGGTAGGCGCCTGAGGGATTGCCGCGAAATGGATTGTGGTTGGTATACTGTGATACTATTGTCTGAGTAATCAGTTATGGTAGATACCTCATATGGACATTTGTCATAGCTTCGCACCATAGTTTATAGTGAACTAGGAATGGGTTGCCGGTATCTGTTGAGGATACTTTAGCCCTAGCATCTGGACCGTTCTACCTGGTTGTTCAGTGTATATATGGTCCCCAAGCTGTCGGTCAATGCGTGCCGGAATGAGATCACTACCGAAGCAGATAGACAGCACAAACATCTCTACAGATGACGACTACGATGCTAGTGACTGTGAATGATCCTTCCAGTCTAACCGGAAGCACCCTTCAAAAGCCAGAGACGAATCATCTTGGTTTTATACCACAGCCTACTCCCACCAGCACCCTGTTTTCCAGCCTTATCCCCGCCCTCAAACCGAATTAAGACCCCAGCGCCACAGCGCAGATTGCAATGATTCACGAGATCTATCTAATGGCAGGTTTGAATTCGTGCAATTGCGCCCATCGGTGCCAATTCTCGAAGCCCATGGCACCGGCACTCTCACGGGGGATCCGATCGAGGCTGAGGCCATCCATCGTGCCTTTTTTTTATTTCTCTTTTTTGCCTAATGCTGCCGCTGTTGCTACCGAGACGGAGAGTAAGAGACAGTATGTGGGCTCGATCAAGACCGTTTGTGGGCATACCGAAGGGGCCGCCGAAATTGCCGCGGTTCTGAAAGGTTCCCTCGCGCTGCAGCACAAGACCATACCCCCGAATCTGCTGTTCAACCAATGGCACCCCAACGTGCAGCCGTTTTCCGAACATCTCGCCGTGCCCACGCAGGCGCTGCTGTGGCCTGTCGTGGCGCCTGGCCAGCCGCGTAGGGCTAGTATCAACAGCTTCGGCTTCGGGTGTGCCAATGCACACGCCATCCTGGAAAGCTATGAAATGGCGGTCCCGGACAGCCCCCCAAGCTCCAATCCTGCAGTAGTGACTGCGTTCCTCTTTTCCGCCACCTCGGAGAGATCGCTTAATGCCATGTTATCCGCGTATGCGGCGTGGCTTCAACAACCTTTCCCTGCGTCTTCGGCGGTAAACCTGCGGAATCTGAGTTATACACTGCATGCGCGGAGATCTGAACTCTCCGTGCGAGCCGCGATTCCGGCCACCAGTTCGGTGGAAACCCTAACGCAGCGAGTGGCATCCCGCCAAGGTCACGACGAACGATCCGCTGTTGACTCGTCGATTAGCACAGGGCGCGTCCGCGCGGATTCTAGGCGTCTTCACCGGCCAAGGCACGCAGTGGGCGGGCATGGGCCGGTCGCTGATCACTGCCTCCAGCTATGCCCGAAATCGCATCGACACTCTCGTTGCGCTATTGGAGAAAGAGCAGCCGTCCAAATGGTCGATCCTGCAGGAGCTGCTGGCAGCCCCCGAGCAAAGACGACTGAATGAGACAGCAATCGCGCAGCCCCTGCGTAGGGTCATCCAGATGGTCTTGGTGGAGCTCCTTCACAGCGCGGGGGTATGGTTTCATGCCGTTGTGGGCCATTCGTCTGGTAAATATGTCTCCCTTCCAGATTCCCCTATGGGCAAGTATATATCTTCTACAGATATATGTATATGTAAAGAAGCTGACAATCCACACAAACCTGCAGGCGAAATTGCGGCGGCGTATGCGGCAGGATACCTGACCGCGGAGGACGCCCACGAGCTCAGGTAATAGAGGTATAATATAATATGAAGTCTGAGATATCTAAGATTAAAAGAGTATATTCTTGTAGTAGTTTTATATATATTATCTCAGTTTAAAAAGTTCTTATCACATATCTAATACGACATAAAAGATTCAAAAAAGCCTATGTTATATGCAATATAGGCCGGCCGGCTCGCTTGCGCAGCCCACTTGTTACCGATTACGCTACTTGAAGTCATTGACGTCACTACCTAAACGTAACAAAAACACAGCTACTTCGAATTGGAAACGATACACGTTCGGGGTTTGTCCTTGACAGTCATCTATATATTAATTTGTCCAACATTTAGATCAGCGAGTTAGATTTTGGGTCCAGTGTTCAGACCCAACCCGTGACGAGACGGAGATATCACCTACGGTAGCAAAAAGGACAAGTAGGAAATCAAAATGCTGGTTTGATGATAGAAGCAGAGACAAAGACCACCACAGAGGGTCAACAAAGATAAGCGAAGCACTCGCACTGAAATTGTTTTGATGGAGATTGATTTGTGTCGATCGCTCTTCAACTCGCGATTTCAACCTCTTCTGACCCTGAAATTCTCAACGCTGAAAGTGGAGAGAAATCATTTTTGTGTCACATGGTTCACAAAGTCGATTATGTCTTCCAAAAACAACCCAGGCTGCTCGAAGGCGCCAAAGTGACCGCCCTGTAATTATTGGGTTAGTCAGGTTTACATACAGATGTGCGCAATGGATGTCAAGCAGGGTATAGACTTGCGGATGGGATTCAAAACGGACCTTGTCATGTTCACGAAACCATGTTAAATTTGCAACCTCCTTTGCAAGGCTTTCAGGTGTCGAACAAGGCTCTAGCGGGAAACGAGAATAACCAAACGGTTTGCCGGAAAAGTAACGTAGTGGTGGTCGTTCGTTTGATAACAGCTCCCGATACGCATAAAGTGAGTGAGGAAGAGTTGAAGTAAACCAGTAGAAAGTGACCATGCGCAAGATCGCTTCAATGGTCGGCTCTTCATCGGTCCATTCCAGAAACTTTTCACCTACCCTGCAGGATCACAAAGTATGAGTAAACGATGACAATGGTTGAAGGTGGGCGGTTTTATCGTCTTACCACGCTAAAAGAGCAATGGGGCTGGACGACAGAACAATTCTAATGGTAGCAGGTCTTGTCACATGTTCCATCGCATAAGCAAAACCACTTCGCTGGAATTCCGCCGCTTCTCGAAGGAAGGCAGTCTCGCTATCGGTCAAGACTCGATCTTCACTGCGAACCGGCGATGGAAAAATTAGATTCACTGCAGCAATAAGTCAACTCATCGCTGAACCGAATTACTGGGGATAAGCGCAGGGAAGTGCCTGGAGATCCTACCATGACAAGCTTTACACTCCTCATAAGTCGATGCCAGCATCATCGAAATCACCCCCCCAATGTCGCCGCCTTGCACTACATATCCATCAACGAACCCGAGCTCAATCATGAGATTATTGATTAAGCGAGATGCATCCCCCAGTGTGAAATTGTCTGCCGTATATTTTGAGGATAGCCCGTACCCAGGAAGCGATGGGACGATGATGTGGTAAGGAAGACTATCCTGAGAGAACCTTTCCTGCAAAAGTGACAGCACGGGCAAAAATTCTAAGAAGCTCCCTGGGAAAAGGTCAGCATGGTCATGAAGGTGGCTATGCCTGGACAAAAAGCCGGAGAGAGAAAGTGCTTGCCTGGCCAACCATGGAGGAAAACAATAGGCGTAGCATCAGGATGCTTGGAGAACAGTGCAGCGAAATGAACTGTGAAGTTACCACAGCGCTCATCCTGAAGATTTAGTTTGAAATTTGGGAAACTGTTGATATAATCCTCATTTTTCCGCCAGTCAAATTGTTTCAACCAGTAATCTCGAGCAGAAACAATCCATTCGCGGCTGATCCCAAATTGCCGATCTTTGTTAGAATTTTCCCATGTTACAGGACCTACTTCAGAGAGCGTCAAAAGGGAACAAAAATGTGCGAGGTCAGTCTCGGGAACACAAAGGGTAAATGGTTCAAGTTTGTGCGACACGGCTGAAGGAACGAAATTGAAGGAGGCAGACATGATACACTGTAATAACTATAACAATGTAAGGTATAGATAAAGTGTGGATGCATCAAAAAAAATGATGGAAATGGTTCAGCTTTTATGGTCGGATTATCCTTGACCTACGTTTCTATAGTTGCCATTCACTATCTTGGGCTGATTAGACCATCAACCCAGCAAACGGTTGATTCACAGACCATTCTTCTGTGTCTCAGCCACAAGTCTCCACCCATCCACCACCATTCCACGGGAACTTCCCGCATATAGGTATGTTTCAATAAGTAATATTTTAAAGTGGTGATTTCTCTCTTAATATAATACGAAAATTTTGAAAAAAATGGAAAGATGGGCAAATTCAAGTGCGGGTGGAACTTCGAGTTATAGAAATAGCAGTTCAAAAAATTGTCTTAGAGGCACTTCTAGGTACTACTTAAACTATTTCTAATATATCTATTAGCTACTTGCAACTCCGGTTGCATTTAGCAGTTAGCCAAATCTTCTTTACATCCCACATTCTGATGAAGATCAGCATATTGTGAAGCCTATTGTTATTCCTTCTAGATATGAAATGAGAAAGTAGAGACTTTAACGTACAAGATTTCCCAATTCATTCTTGTAGGTCATATATAGGTAATATTGTGATAGTATCCTCGGAATCATTCCCTCATTTAAGCATAACCTCTGTCCTTGCTCTTTTTACATATCACTCGAATCTCTTTTGCCAGGCATATTATGATAGGCTCCTCGGCTTTTGAGCAATATGCAAATCCTGAATAGGGTGACTCTTCTTACCTCGCCCGATGGGTCAATCTGTATGTACGTGTGAGTTACAGGACCCTTTGTTACGTCCGCAGAGTCCGCAGAGTCCGCAGAATCCGCAGAATCCGCACTAGTCCACATAGTCCGCAGGGTCCGCTTTATACTCTCAAGAGCCACACCTGTGGGTCCTGGGCATGTTCTGGTCGATGTGTTTAACTGTAGGCTACTACAATTTACCCAATAGGTAGCCACATAGCAGTAAAAAAAAAAAACAGAAAACCTGTCGTCTCCCAGACAAGGCTCTTTATAGCTATAGCTGATTATTAAAATACTACTTTACTGGGCGTGCTAGAAGATACTAACTAGGGTGGCTAGAAGTAGAGTAGGACCAAAGCCCTAGTTAGAGTACCTTGATCTGACTGTTATACCTTAACTGTAATCTAACTTTAATCTAGCAGTTAGATTAAATTATAAGAATTTTTAACTGTACAGTTAAAATTAGATCAAAATATAACTATTACTTTAACTGTTCAAATCTGCTGGTTAAAAAAAATAAAGCAGATAAATTAATGATTATAGATTAACTTATAATTTATACACAACATAGCAAAATCAGCTTCCGCTGCGAACACTGTTCTTCTTTACTAATGGTCCCAGAGCGGGAACGCTAGCGGGAGGCCGTCTGTCGGGCTAGTAATTTTCACCTTTTTAAGAGAAAGTAATACGAAAAGATTTTCTTTACCAACTGAGTACATACATATGGTATGATGTTGGGTGGAAAATGAGAAATATTAGTTAATTATAAAAATATGTATGTATATGAAAAGGGATATAGGATAGGATAATTAGCTAAATACGCCTAGTTGTTATGGGACCAAGGCCCTGTTATAGAGCTCGGCTTCAGGCACCAGTTGGCACCTAAGGCCTTGCACGCTAAGTACTAAACTAGCACTAGCTTAGCGCACATATAAAAGAATTTCGTACGAACAGATGAAATAGCTCCTCAGCTATTTCTTCTTGTTCTAAGGCACGTTTCGATTAGCACAATCCATCCGTCCCGTAACAATAAACTAGTTAAAGTTATTATTACTAATAATAATAAAAAACTTTTTATACTAATCTAAAATTATTAAAAGTTCGGCAGTATTTTTAAGTATATTAACTAATATCTAATTCTAATTAGCTTAATACAACTATTAAAAAAATATTAATATTTATCTAGTTACAGATCTAATTATAATTTAAATACTATTTATAAACTATAAATACAGCTGTATTATAAACACAGCCAGAAAAAAAAAGCTTTCTATTAATAGGATTAAAATTATAAATAAAAATATAAAAGTAGTATAAATAAAAAAAAGTTTTTAGTATAAAAAAAGTATTAGCTAAACAGCAATAAGTAGTAGAAGGCATAGTATTAAATCTTTATTAACTAAAAAAAAATAACTTAGATTTATTAAAAACTATAAAACAAAAAACAAAAATAATACTAAAAACAATATAAAATAAGTATAGATAAAAAAAATCAATAGAAAGTTAAAATATAAAAAATAATAAAACTGTAATAAACTTTTTTATTTATAAATATAATATAGATTAAACCCTAATCAGATTATTAATAATATATATCCTCTATTTACTATACCTAATATAATATAAAATAATATAATATTATATTAATAGCTCTGCTACTATAGCAATACTAGCTATATAGCCTGTTAAAGTATTATTAAATATTTAAATTACTTTTTTAGCTATATATTAAAGATATTTCTATTTATACCCCAGACTAGATAGTCCGGCTTAATAGAAAAGTATAAATTATTATATAATACTTATAGTATACAGCCGCCAGCCCCTACTCTAATATTAATATTATTACTAATTTATTGGGCTTTTAATCTGGGTTCTTATATTAGTATAAAGCTGACCCCTTTTTTCCAAAATATATATAAGTATTTAAAATCCTTAGGAGATTAGAAATCCCTAAGGATTAGTTTTATAATTAATAAAAGACTACTTCCAACTGCTTTTGCCTTGTCTAACCAACATGTCTACTGCGTCAAGTAGTTCCTGACAATTTATTTTTTTAATATAAAAAACTGGATGCTTCTGTAGAGCCTTTTAAAAGTTAAATTTATTTTAACTAAAGATTTTTATTAATATAATAATAAAATACTAAAGTTTTATTTAAAAAAAGTAAATAAGTTTATATAGTAGGATTTTATCTTTTTAGATTAATAGTATAGTCTAAGGGACTATATGTCAGGAACTACTTGACACAGTAGACATGTTGGTTAGGCAAGGCAAAAGCAGTTAGAAGTAGTCTTCTATTAATTACAAAACTAATTCTTAGGAATCCCCAATCCCCTAAGGATTTTGAGTGCTTATATACATTTTGGAAAAAAAAGATCAGCTTTATACTAATATAAAAACCCAGATTGGAAGTCCGACAAATTAGTAACAATAGCAGTATTGGAGTGGGGGGCTGGCGGCCGCATACCACAGATATTATACAACAATTTATACTCCTCTACCAAGCCGGACCACCTGGTCCGGGGTATAAATAAGAATAGCTTTAATATATAGCTAAAAAAAGTAATCTAGATATTTAATAATACTCCAACAGACTATACAGCTAGTATTGCTATAGTAGCAGGGCTATTAATATAGCATTATATTACTTTATATTATATTAAATATAGTAAATAGAGGACGTGTATTATCAACAACCCGATCAGGGTTTAATATATATTATATTTATAAACAAAAAAGTTTATTACAGCTTTATTATTTTTTATATTTTAATTCTCTATTAATTCTTCCTCTATCTATACTTATTCTATATTATTTTCAGCATCGTCTCTGTCTTTTATATTGCAGTTTTTAGTAAATACAAGTCGTTCTCTTCTTAAGTTAACAAAGATTCGACACCATGCCTCCTACTACTTATTACTGTTTAGCTGATACTTTTTTTATACTAAAGACTTTTTTTTATCTATACTACTTTCGCACCTCCATCTGCAATTTTAACCCTACTAATAGGGAGCTTTTCTCTTCCAGCTGTATTTTTAATACAGCTGTATCTGTGGCTTATAAACAGTATTTAAATTATAATTAAATCTATAACCAGATAAATATTAACGCCCTTTTAATAGTTGTATTAAGCTAATCAGAATTAGATATTGGTTAGTATACTTAGAAACACCACCGAACTCTCGACGATCTTAGGTTGGTGTGAGGAGTTTTTTATTATCACCAGTAATAATAACTTCAACTAGTCTTCTAAGCTTCGTCTTCCCGTTTGCAAGTTGACCCTGGCACTTGCGGTTGGTTTTAAGGCTGCCGAGCTGGCCCATCACTATAAACACAAATTAACCGGATCTTCTAAGGCCAAGATTTAGGTACATTTCCCTATAGGTTTCCAGTTAAAGCATAAGCTGATTTTCCAGCCGTATCTCCCCTTCTATTACAAGTTCGTTGCGGGTCGTCGCGCCATCGCTGAGGATCCGACTATGCTCCACCTCCTCCCTGGTAATGATGGCTACATTTTGTGGACCAGTGCCAAGCAGGCTTTCTTCACTGGGATCTGCCGTGAGGTCGAGGCCATGTACAGTGATGTGGAATCTCCTCAGGGTCACTGCATTCAGAAGGTTAAGGACACTTGGCCCTTCCCTGCTCATATTCTTTAATAGGAACAACCTTGCTCTGGTTCTGTTCGGTAGGTTTTCAACAGGGGTCCGGCTTATTTGCAGGGGTGTTTTGTTTGATTAAGCATATTAATACAATCTCTTAACTGTATTTAATATAGCAATTTGATAGTAGTTCGGTTGCTCCCCTTATATTTAGAAATAAGAATTTTTCTACCGCCCCGACTTCTTTTTTTACTTTCTATAATTTTGTATTGCTTACTGGGCATTTTCTATGGATTCCTCCGGTACCTATTTATTATATTCACTCGGCCAGTCCTTCTATTTAACTAGAAAATATTGTTTGCTTTTAAAGATTTGTTTATTTTTAACATCCTTAACTTCAAACTCCTCTTCCTCCTCCAGTTCTGGGGGGTGGAGTTCATTTGTTGATTCTGTATTAGATTCCTATTATTCTAATAATAATACATAGAAGATGTTGTGGATTTGACTGTAACAATCAGACAGAGATATTTAATATACCTGGGTCCTAATAACTGCTAGAACCCTTAAGGGCCTAATATACCAGGGGGCTAACTTTTTAAATGGGGCCTTAATCTTTAGATT